GCACTCTAGGAAGGTTATTTACTGTTTTATTCTGTTACTCTTGCCAAATCCTGTCAAACGCCTTCGAGATATCTAAAGCCACAGCCCGAGCCTCACCATTCTTATTTAAAGCTTGATAGACAAATTCAGTAATAATCCTTAACACATCGGTGGTTGACGTAGAGAAAGCAGTTACGCTTTAAGAAAAGCAAAAATATTAACAATTAAAATAGGACGTCTATTTCAAGTGTGAGTATCCATTATAATAACACCTGAAGTAATAAAAATGTTGGATTAAAAATAAATCCATTAATTCTTTTAAAAATTCTTTGTTTTCGTCTCGGATATGAAACTGAATAGATATGGGCGTTTGAGAAAATATTTTAGTGAGGAAGTGTGCTTTCCTTAAACGGGGGAAATAGAGCTTTACTGGATTGTGACGCTTTTCGTAGTCAAGTGGGGGAGTACACTGATCTTTTTTATCCTAAAAAAGGTGGATGCATGTTCGATCCTTACCGGGGATCACGTGTTCTTTATTAAGATTTCTCGAATACACAGGCCAATAGACACTGTTTAAAGTAACAGTAAAAGTGGGTAGTCTATTTCAAATATGAGTATTCACTAAATAATAACATTTGAATTATATATAAAAAGACTACTGTCTTTGTGTAAGGAGAAACATGTTAATTTGGTGACGAAGTACGTGACACGTGATTTTGGCAAGAGTAATTGATCTGATGGTTGGTCTAAAAGTCGTCTAAAAGTTGTGTGCTTAAATAGAAATACTCAAATAACACAGCAAAAAACACAACAGGGGTGACATGGGGGGTAATGTTTTGGGTTTGTGTTGTCGACGGTATAATTATGAGTCCCTTTACTGTTGATATTCACCTACCGCCCCACGCGGTGGGGTTTAGCACAAGGTCGAGTTTATTGTGGGGTATCCGAGTCCGTAAGCTCGGGCAAAGATTCCCTCAGACCCCGTAAAAAATGGGGCCGGATAGCTGTCTACCACCCCAGACGAGACTCTGCTCTTTGGCATAGACTCGTCTGGGTTCCTCTCTGCCCAGAGGCAGAGAGTTCGACAAGCAAACCTCCGAAGTAATTCGAAGAGAGTTCCTTTAATGATGATGACAGCGTCAATGCAGAAAAGTATTGTAAGATTTTAGATAAGGCATGTTTAAGCGGTATTACAACCAAAATGTTTCAGTCTAAAGAGTATATTTATCGAAGATAATGTTTCTTTACATTCTGCAAAGGTAATTAATAGAATAGCACCCATCCCCCCCAGTTAATAATTAAATAGAAATCTTTCACTCTATTGTTCAAATAAAATGAACATTTTGTCAGTACTACAATGTTTTTGCAATCCTCACAGCATTGTGGAAGTTAGTGCTAACATTTTCTCAAGATTTACAAACTCTACATTTCGTTCGATTTCGCAAACCAATCGATGAAATTTGAATAAGCTGATTTGTTTGGAAAAATACTTACAGAGTTCCTACTTCATGGCTTAATAATTTCTTTAATTTAATTTTATATGATTTCATGGTAAACAATTTTTTTAAGAAAATTTCATTTTTCCTTTTTAACGGTGAATAATAAATTCTTAGGATTTCTTACTCTTGAGCATGCAACATACAACTGGACATGCGTAAATATTTCTTTCTGGAGCCAAATTCCAAATTTTTAGAAGCGTTTGACCTTGTGATTTGTTTTGTACTTCTCGCAAACAAGTGGAACTGGAAACTGGATTCTTTCATATAAAAACTTAAAGATACGCAAAAAACAATCTATTTTTATTAAATAAGTATTTGTTATTTTAATCATTAAATCGTTTCTAAGGTAGTGAGAGTATTTTGTATGTTAAATAATAAAACTTTTAATTTTTCAAAAAAAAAAAAAATTAAAAAAAATGAAAATTTATTGTACTAATCTCTGCATCCTAGTAAAGCAAATGTACTTTGTAACCCGAAAGTAAGGAACATGTAATAGAGATCTACCTCGCTACTCAATCGTAATAGATCTAGATGAGAAAAACTTGCTAACCATTACATCACGTCGATGTGCCCCAAACATGTTAAATATACTTACAAAATTAAAAGTAATAACAAAGAATGAACTGTCACCTGAAGCATAAAAAACATGAAAATTTCAGAGAACAAAAAAAACAAAAAATTAATAATCTTCCTGATAAAACCGGAAGTACTCGGACATTAAAGTATCTGTATTTAAATATGTACCTGAAAACAGTTTGAAATATAGAAAAAATAAATTATTAACAAAGAAGTTTCGTTACTCTTTAACCAAACTTGTATAAATGAAAAATACATATTGTGTCTACTTATTTATATACTGATCCTTTCCAGTTGTCTAATCAGTTTCTTGATGTTAGGATGAAATCCATCACAAAAGGAGCCGTAGTTTTTGTTAATCCAAGTACTTTCGATCTTTTTCGAGATCATCTTGCGATAAAATCTGCATTCCATTGTGAAGGTGATTTCCAAAACACGCGCGAATGCACTTTGTAATTATTTAAAATTTATCCGTTGTAGTTATGGAATTTTTTTTTTTTTTGGCAGAACAAGAGTTTCAATATAAGGGAGCTGACCGGAAATTGGTAGAAATGTACTTTTATATGCTGTTGCTATATTCGTAACAAATTTCGTGGAGTCTTGGTTGGTTCAATTTGATAAAGAGGGCTTTGAGAATTTGAAGATTTTGTTTATTATTTTCGTGGTGTACTATATTGGGGCTGTCAACAAGTATTTCTTGTATTGTGAAGGTGAACAGGAATGAGTTTTTAGATGTTCTGCAATAGTACTTGAAACCCTACAAATGAAGTGTAAGATGTTTATATAATATCGGGTTAAAAAGAAATCTATTAATTCTTTATAAATATATATGTTTTATATACCATAACAATATTAGGAAAACCAGTGACAAAGTCGAAACAGTTTCTCGTGTGACACGTTTCGTCCTTTAGTCCGATGAAATCCTAAAAGACTAAATACATCACAGTTCCACTTCATATATATATATATATATATATATATATATATATATATATATTAGGAATTAATGGATTTTCTTTTTGATCTGACATTATTTCTTATAACTCTAAATGTTATTTTACTGGATGCATGTGTTTTGCATAGACGCTCTGTATAATTCTAAGTGTTTCGTGATAGGCTCTAGAACAGTGGCTCTAACCCCTTTTTTTCACACATGGGTCACTTTTACTCTTATGTTTTTTGGTGGAGCCCCATAACCATTTGATGTAAAAAATGTTTATTTTATGCTTTACTAAGTTTAGTAATTGCATTATAGAAATAGTAAATATATTTGCTTTATTTTGAAATCAAATTAACTTTATGGAAGTAAATTGAATTCTATGGAAAATTTATGTAAATTAGTAAAATAACTTATAATAAACCATTTTAAAATGAACCTCCAGTCATGTTAGAGGGACCTCCTAGGGTCCACATGCACCCAGGTTGAGAACATCTGCTCTAGAACAAAAGAAACATCGGTTAATTATCTTTTCCATTGGTGCGAATATCCAAGGTCGAATAATATTTCTTATTACTGTAAACATTATAACGACGGGACATTTTTTCCGTTATTTTGCTTGAGTAGACGTCCTGTTTTATTTTAAATAGTTTAAATTACGTTTGCCCAACTGTTTTTGTTGTTATTATAACAACAAAAACAGGGCGTCTACTCAAACTTCCACGAATTTAGAGTCAGTTAGTCAGTTATGTGCCATGCGTGATACGGGTTTAGGCGATCATGTATCTTTCGATACATGACTGACGAGGCAGATTTTTTTCCTGCAGTAGGTTGCCATTACTTTCTGCGGTAAACCAGTTGCCATACAAGGCTCTAGAACCCGGTCTGTCCTGCTATTTACCCATAAGAGAAGAGGATTAGCACGTAAGTGAATGTAATGGATCTGACGAATTTGAACCCGACTTCTCAATCTGAGCCGCTATCCATTGCCCCACCGTGCCTCCTGAAAATTCAGAATAATAAGGCATAATATCAGATTAAAAATAAAATCCATTAATTCCTTAGAAATTACTTTATGCGAAAATGAAACGAAATATATATATATATATATATATATATATATATATATATGTGTGAAAAGTGTATATAAATAAATATATATATATATGTATAATTATTTATATATTATATGCGCGGTACTTATTGTAAAGCGCTCAATATCAGAGACAGAGCTAACATATATATATATATATATATATATACTTTTGAGAAGATCGGGACGAAACGGTGCACATTAATTAAACGTGTAATTGAACCTTGCTAGATTATGGCATTCTCTGTAGCCGAGCTGTCTAAATCACGCCGGATTAGACGGTGGTTTTCCCTATAAAGGTGGTGAGGATGGTGACCGATTCATGTCTGATGGCACAATTTTTGTGTTAGGTCTCTCGAATTTACAGGCCGGTAGATGTAATTCATGTTTAAAATAAAATTAAAAAAATAATAATAGACGTGTTTGAATAGACACCCTATCTACAAAAATAACATTTAGAATAAAAAGAAGTATTATTCGACCTTGGACATTCTTACCTGTGGTAAAGGTAATTAATTTAGGTTTCTTTTGTTCTAGAGCCTATTCTAGACACACCTATACTTACATAACACCCGAATAACGTCCAGTCTGTGAAGGTATCTCAGGTTTGGGATATGGATCATAGGTTCAGTAATATATAATCTTAAATAAAATTTGATATTTACCTGTAAACACAGGTCCTATCTGTTTACTTAGTGTAATCTAAGTAATGAGTTGACGTATCGTAAATAATTAAATTATATCACCTTCATTGTTTTCCCCTTTCCGCCTAAACAGTAAAATGAGTTTTATTGTTGTATATAATCTTTGACGAGAAGCATTTGGCGCATTTGTTCAACGACTCTCTGTCATTGTCGCATTTGAGGTCTACCTTTCACAGAGACGAATAGGACATTATTTGCAACAATTGTTAGAAATGGACGAAGAAAACCTAAGGTATAATAGCAGTAACACTTTTCTTTTTCAGGATTTATTTCAGTAGTTCTCCCTATTTTATCCGCGGGTTGGGGGAATGTCTCAAGAAACATAGCGGATACCTTAAACCGCAGTTTGTATCGAACACCATAAATGTTATATTTTTTACTATATATATATATATATATATATATGAAAAGTTTAATTGATCAATTAGTCATAGTAAGAGATTAACAATAAGTAATAATATACTAAAACAATTATAACAATGTAAAGGAATAAATACTGATGCAAAAAGATTCGTTGTTGACAGTAGATTTTATGAGGCACATGAATAACAATAACAGCTAATAACAGAACAATTATAACTACAGTAAAAGTTATTGCAACGACTAGTAAATTGGTCGTAGATATTATTCAATACAATAAGAGATAACTAATTAGAAAGAACCATGAAAATTTCATGGTTTTCCTATTTACATTTTCTGGTGAATCTTAATTCTACAGTTAATGAGTAAATAAGCTTATGGCAGGTTCTACGACAGTAATAAAATATCCGTTGAAATTGCCCTTATCGCATCATTAAATATTTGAACTTAACAACTTTAACAAAATATTGCAATAACAATAATAAATATGAGTGCTGGTCATTATTTTAAGAAGTGGGTACAAATGAAGATTTGAAATTGATAATATTTTTCCCATTTCACTGAAGCAGCCGTTAAACACTTCTATCTTCCCTTTATTTATTTCTTTCATTTTATCACCCAGGAAACACCACCTCTGCTACGGCGGCAGTACATGTGTTTGGTGCCGCTATGACCCTAATGAGTCATAGGACTTATAAGACGCATTTTCCTTTCTATAAAATATCTCCAAAACCACTGCGTCTTATAAATAGAAAGACGGTGATGGAAGTTATAAGTTTTGTGGTGTGGAGTGAGCGTCAGTTCTCCAGTTACACCCTGTATCTAATTTAAAATTAGTGCTTCATCCTGGTTTGTGATGAATTCGTCACGATTATTAAGGATTTCAGGCTGCAATAAGGTTAGGTTTCGGTTGGATTATGCACTTTAACTTCTCTTCTAATTATTACATTCTAAATAGTTACAATAAATTCTGTACCTCTTCTCAGTCTGTGATGAATTTCTGATGATTAGTCATGTTTTCATACTGAAACATGCTATTGAGGGGATAAAATTGGGGATAACGGGGAGGGCTATGAAGTTAAAGGAGGTAGAGGTGGGGGGTCGTCTAATGCATCGGAGCGTCTTATGAGCTGCGAAATACGGTAAGTAAAGAAATCCAAATTATAGAACGTTACAACGGATGTTTTAAAAGTATACATAAATATATATAAAAATATATAAAGCAAACATGGTAAAGAACAAAGAAAAAGAATAGTTACTAAGTTGTAAGGTGGTGGGTCGAAAAAATATAACAACAAAAAGGACTAACTGGTTATCCTTCCTCGCTCTTTAGAGCAATCGAAGATAAAAAAAAACAACAACATATAAATATGAGCACAACTAACGACTAAAAAAGGGGAGAAAAAAATGTCTTACCCTTGCTCTTCATCACTTTTTGTTATATTTTATCATACATGCACACACACACACACACACACACACACACACACACACACACACACACATATATATATATATATATATATATATATATATATATATATATATATTACATGAATCATTCATACAAAAAACAAATATAGAGGTTAATGATTTAAATGGCGAGAATACATCTTCGCAAACAATTTCAATAAGGTACACTAACCCCGAACCTGTATATGAATGATATGATCCCTGTTTATAAATTCCAGTTGTATAAGGTCTTTTAATTTTTACAAGCTTTCGTCTGTTCCTACAGACATCCTCAGTTATGGAAATAGATTTGTTCTTTTTTTTTTTTACTTCTCGGTAATAAGAGGACAACGAAAATAGAGATGTAATCCGAAAAAATGCTATGAGAAATGTGTTATTGTTTTGGAACGTGCGGTCGCAACGCTGAGTTTGAATTTTAAATTTTAAGGTTGTGCGTTTTTGTACAAATATAGTAATAAGAGAATTCTTTTTTACTGGTAGGTTTTCCGTCAATGTGGCATGAACTATATTGTTCAATAATTACAGGAATGTCACACTTATTCTCCGAAAGTTGCACGTTGGATGAGTTATTTTAATTTCGATTATAGGTGCAGTTCAATTTATAATTACATGAATCATTCATATATATAATATATATATAAATCCACATATAAAAATAATAGTTGGCCACTAGTATTTTAGGATACTCGTTTACTAGGGCGGCTAACCAATCCCTATTGCAGACTCTCGCTCAAACACCCACATAGCCTACCTGTGGTTTATACTGCAACTATGGGAAAGAGCGTATTATCTAGAATGATAACAATTTGAACAACACCAGCATACTTAAACTCTCGGTCACGATGACTTGTGACTTCGTGCTAGCAAGTGTTGTGTCTACCCAATTTCACTCACAAGGTTTCGGTCAACTCGTGGTATGGTTTTCAGGCACTTTCCAAAGGTGTCGCACGCTGGGATCGTACCCTTTCCAGACCGATAACATCAAGAAGTCTCCTTCCTGACAAATTGACCATGGTGAGATTCGAACCCGGGTTTCATGGTCAAATATATATATATATATATATATATATATATATATATATATATATATATATATATAGGCAGAATATTTTCATTCAAACATATTTCATGGAATAATATAGACATCCTCAATGATCATCTACAGGGCTAAATTACAAAGACACATTTATTGTAACTGCGATAAAATCTGCATTCCACTGTCATGATGATGATTTTTTTCTAAACCCGCGTGAATGCGCTCTGTAATTGTTTTAAAAGTTTTAATTTATCTCTTGCAGTTATGGATTTTATTTGCAAAACAAACGTTTCAATATAAGGGAACTGACCGAAAATGGGTAGAAATATAAAATGGCATTAAATGTCATATACATTTTAATATATTGTTTTTTATTCGTAATACATTTTGTTAAGTGTTGGTTGGTTGATTTTGATATAGAGAGCCTCGAGAATTATTTTTGATTATTATTTTCATGGTGTTGTATATTGGTGTTGCCAACAAGTATTTTCTCGTATTGTGAATGTGCACAGGAACATATTTTTAGATGTTGTGCAATAGAAATTGTATCTGACAAATGTTGTGTAAGACGTCTTCATAATATTGTGGTAATCTAATCAACACATGTACTTACTTTTTTCCAGAAAGACAATCTCCAAAAGTACATTTAAACTGATATACAATGTTGTTTTTTTCCGAAACACTAAATGACAGAGAAGAGCTATTGCGTATGATTAAATGGCTTGTATTAAATTTAGTATAGTTTATAGATTTTTTTAATAGGATCAGTGGTGAATATATTAGTGTTTATGAAATTTTTTAGAATTTTTTCATGTTGTTTATAGTTAGAATCTATTTGAATACGATATCTTAGGTTGATATGTTTATGGTTATTTGAGAAATTATTATGTTCTTTTTATTTATGTTAATATTTCTAATAGCTCGTTAATTTTTTCATCATCGATGTAATTAGGAAAGTAATTATCAATGAGAGTTTAATTTAATATTTATAGTTCAGTGTATAAAATTTTATATATTGGAGGATTTAATTTTTGCACAATATATCAAATTCTGTGTAATAGCTTTTTGTAATATTCAGGGCATTCACTTTTATAATTTACAGTGTAAGTGTTTATGCTAGTTGTCTTTTTATATAGGAAGGTAGTGAATGTATTATTATTAGTGTCTATAAATACATTAAGAAAAAGGATTTTATTATTAATTTTAAGTCCATATGTGAAGCCAAGAACGTAGTTTTATTGAAAGATTTCTTACAGTTCATGTATTTCATTTGTTTTTAACTAAGATAAGAATATCATCTAGATATCTTAGGTAGATGTTTTTTAGTGATATTAAATATCTTATTTTCAAGGTTAGCCATGTAGATGATACTAAATTTGGATCCTAGAAATAAACCCCGAGGTACGCCATCACGTTGTACGTAATGTTATTTTGATGGTCATAGAAGGAAACCTCAGTGGTGTAAGTCAAAGTAGTTTCTGTAATATATTAGGTTTCATTTTCATATGAGAGGGAGAGGGAGTGTTGTATTAGGTTGGTGCAAAAATAATGACGTAATAATGTCGTTTTTTGACGTTCACGTCAAAAAACGACATTATTACGTCATTATTTTTGCACCAACCTAATAAATAGTTTTTATTATTATATCAATCGTTTCCCTAATTGGGACATAGGTAAATAAACGTTCAACATCAAGTGAGACTGTGGTTTCATTATTAGATTTTTGTGTTTTTAAGATTTGGATTAGCTCATGAGTCGAGTTAACACTTTATTTAATAGGTATGCATGGTGTAATGAGTTGGTTAATGATTTTGGTTAATTGGTAAACTGGGGTGGGGATTTGGGATATGATGGGATGGAGAGAGAAGTTAGGTTTGTGTATTTTTTATGGTACCATACATGTATCCTGGTTTATAATCTCCAATTATTTTGGCGGAGTTTTTTTAAGCGTTTCACCCCAAGCAAGGCTGGAAGCCACTAACACGCAAGGGTTACAGAGAGTCGTGGGGAGAGTGATACGACATCTAGAGACGTCGTTTATTATAATTTGAACTTATAGAAAAATACTCTACGATCATACCTAATTTTAAAAAGTCAACAAAAATCCTACAAACCAACTGAAATTAAAAATATAATAAACTGATCAGAGCCAACATCGCAAAACAGGACAACTTAAAACTATTGTTTATATATATATATATATATATATATATAATATGTATGTGTGTGTGTGTATAATAACATTCCAAATATATTGTAAATGGTTCTATAAAGGCAGGTAATCTTTAGAAGCCTATTCCGCTTATTTTCTTTTCAATCATAGAATAGAAACGATTTACATTATCGCATAAAAAAGAATTTAATCATTGTGATAATTTAATAGGAAACCTTAATTTATTAAGAGATTTTCAGATTGAAATTCTATTCTCATCATATTTCTGTTCAGAAGTATGATGCATTCTTACTGTAGTGTCATCAGCTGTGTTCTGGTTTCTTAGCAACATTCGAAATGAATCACTGTAGTCTCAAAGAACCGATGGAAGAAATTTATGACTAGAAGAATAGCCATATTTTTAACTTCAAGACGATTTCTTTTGTCAAAATATATCATGTTCATCACAGAAAACCTTCTTTAAGCCTCCACTTGACTTACAGCAATGGTATTAATTGTATTTTTATCCATTATATTTCAGCTATTAATATATAAGATTATTTTTGGATAATCCAACAACCGATTCGCTTTTTATAATTTTAAGAATCAGTTTGTCCGAATCGGTAGGATGCCACCACTCTCTCTCTCTCTCTCACTGATATATATATATATATATATATATATATATATATATATAATAGCGCACAGTGAGGTGCTGGGGGTAATAGAACAGTGCACCAAAAAGTGTCGAAGAAAATGTATATTTATTAATCGTATATATATCTTTGAAAATGTTACAAAAACTTAACAACCGATCTACGGTGCATATGTTGAATGGTGTGTACATTTCATGACTTATGTTACTTTTCTTGTTCTGTCTGGGAACTTTTCATCACCCCATCTTGTCCATTTTGGATTATAAAAATGGTATTTTAAACTATGAATGGTTGACAAATTGGTAATGCTGGATTGCTTTTTAAAATTATATTTGATTCTTTTTTAGTATTCTAATGAAAAAAAAAATTGTAAAACATCGTTTCCGTTTAATGAAAATACGCATTTTTGTTTTGTTTCAGAGAGCCTTTGTGCTTAAGAGGTGACGTGAACACAATGGGAGACCCCAAAGTCGAATCCCCGACTTCAAAAGCAGTGGTTAATCATAGAGATATGGACACGGTGATAGAGGTCCGAAGACCCGTCTACCATACAAAAGAATTTCGTGATAAATTCAGGAAGCCAGAGCCACCTGAACGAAGCTGCAAGGAATTATTACGCAGCCACTTGTCAAGCTTGTGCACCTGCTCAAAAGACAGGTGCAAGAAGATACTTGTTGACACATTTCCATTTTTGGGTATTATGCGAAAGTACAAGGTGAAGACCGACTTACCAAATGACCTCATAGCTGGACTTACAGTTGGCATCATGCAACTTCCTCAAAGTAAGGCAAAGGCAGATGTTTTCTTACTTTGAATATCCTTGAAGAATATCTTATTTATTTGCTTTCTCTGTTTGAACTATATGTATTTAATAATTATAAATAAGTGTCAGCTCTTCAACAATTGCTGATGGACTAGATAAAGTATTTAATTCTTTTAGTATTCTTTACAGTAAACTGATTTTAGTTTTAGGCTTTTCATAAATTCGAGGTGCTGTTTAACATTACCGTATTTTCACTTTCTTTACTGACCTTTGAAAAAAAAGAAGGAAATCTGGATGTCTAAAGAATTCCTTGGAGACCACGCTACTAACATTCAAAAGAATCCATGATAATTCACCCATAATAAACTAACTTGTAAACACATGATCGTTTTCAAGTCTAGTATTAACCATTATCTTCCTCACGTATCTGCATAAATCTGTGCCTCTTATTCTGTAAACCTCTACCTCGAGTGGCTCCTGGGCCTTCTACAGAGTGAACCCTACTGTAAAGAAAAAATTGTGTTATATACATAAAAATTCGGTAGTAAAACTTGTAATAAAATAATACTCATAATGAAGAGTAGGTCAGTTCAAATTTCTGGCTTGAAACGCAACAAGATGGAATCAACCCAGTGAAAATAATTTATTTAAAAGTTTTCTTGTTTAATTTAACTGCTGATTGATTTACCCAAATGTCATTTTCACATTTCTGCATTTGTGTCAGTTGCTGGTGTAGTCTTTCAGACTTTTTTTGCTAATCATGTTAATTAAATATTAATTTAATTATAGTTAATTAAATTTTTGATAATGACAACGTCTCCTTTGGCAAGATGTGTATAACCTTTGATGAAATTTGAAATCCATATTATTTTGTAAAATTAAAATATTTTTTTTTACCCCGCAAATGCCTGTCTTGTTTGGGTAGAATAGTAAGTTGATTTCTGTAATGATTTCAGAAACCATTTTGTCTACAATTATGTCACGTTACAAAAATCTCAACTCGCTTCCTTTGACATTTAGATATGTTGAACCTGCAGGAAAGCAGGCTTGAATGCCAGACCAATTATTTGGTCTAACAAGAAAAATGATTTGGATTTTATACATTTCTTCCACAGTATTTGATTCTATATATGTCAAAAGTCTGAGAAGAACTTGTTTATACCAACCACCTCTATCTATCTATCTATCTATCTATCTATCTATCTATCTATCTATCTTAAATCCATATTTGTTCATATATATATATATATATATATATATATATATATATATATATATATATATATATAAGTAGAGAGAGAAACTGCAAACGCTTTTGGTTTTTGAAAATATATATTATACTTTTTCATATTTTTGCTATACGGGTTTCCGATCTCGTGATCTTCATCAGACAAAAGGTGCTTATTTTCACATACTATTAAAAGGAATTACGTTTCCTCATGTTTTCGATGTTTAATCATTGTCTTTTGTCTGTAGTAGTAGCTCAAGAAGGTCGTGAGACTGGAAACCCGTGTAGTAAAAATATGAAAAATAAAATTAAATATATATTTTAGAAAAATCCACATTATAACCAAACACGTTTGAGCTTTCTTTCTTCTTTTTAAAACATACACTTTTCTCTCGTTGGAACTACTATAACCTCTTCTTTATATATATATATATATATATATATATATATTGCCAGCAAATGTTATTAAATGTTTTTTGCGTTTGTTTAAGGTTTTTTTTTATGAACATAAAGTGTGTAAAAAAATTGTCCAACTGTTTCTGATCATCAACCATATTTGGAAAATAAAACATTCCTATAACTTTAGATACATGCATAAAACAATCCAGACATTCAGTTAAAAGTAAAAATAAAATAATTCTTGATAATGATTAAAAGTAGAACTGAAAGCTCTCGGATATACAGAACATTCGGACAAAAAAGATTACAAGAACACAAGAAAAATAAAATAAAAACTCAACGTGTCGTAAATAGGAAAAGTTGACACACATGTAGAAAATAAGAAGTAGTTTATTCCGGTTTATTTATGGTACACGGTTAAGAAAACGGACTAATATAATAAACAGTTAATCATTAACGCTTTTCGCCTAGTAAGAGAGAGTGCTATTTAAATAGTCTTAGACCAGTCAATTTTGTGGGGGTGTTCAGCTACTCCACAACAATATGAACTATTTTGTTTTTCTTTCCAGGTATGGCCTATGCTCTTCTGGCTGACCTTCCTCCAATTGTTGGTCTTTATGTGTCATTTTTTCCTTTACTGACTTACTTTTTCTTTGGTACATCTCGACACGCTGCAATGGGTAAGTAGTTTTTGGCTTCGGTCACTTTCCCACTATCAAAATGTAGCTTTCCTGTACCTTTTCGATAAATATTTTCATGACAATTGTTTTGATCAGCTTTCCTCGTTGATAGCACAACTTCATGAATTTAAGTATAGTACTAGATTGGCAGACAGGTCTCATCGTTTTACTGTTGAAATAACCAGATGTAAATGTAAACTCTATTTTAATAGTTTCTTTTCGTGTACTTCTCACCTGTGTAACTCTCTTCCAGTTTCTTGCATTCTTACTACAATCTACAAAAATGCAACCTCTCTTGTTGTATTCTGTCACATTGAAACCTCTACTTTTTATTGGCATTTATGCTTAGTAGCATTTTCTCAGTTCCCTTCACTCTATTGTCTTTAATCCTCAGTAACCCCCTTGTGTCTTAGTGACTTTATCGCCTTGTTTTGGGTGAAATAATTACTCCTCAAGTTAATATTCTATATTCTATTTCTTACACGCTTTATCAGATCCTATTATGCAAAACAGCAATGTTTAACCTTCATGGCCGCAAAAGAAAACGATGGAAAGTTATTCCTTTGACACTGCTATTATTATTACTGCTGTTGACACTTTTGACTCCCTTGGCAATATTTTTATAAAAACATTATAAAAAATATGTGAGCCAAGTACTATGTAATATTTATTATTTACTTTTTATAAAGGTTTATTACTTACCATTTTATAAAGAAATAAATTTGAAAAAAATCTTTTTATTCCCCCCCCAAAAAAAAAATTATAAAATAATTACAAATCATCAAAATATGTAAACCAGCAGCAATGCAATATTTATTATTCACAATTTTATAAATTGCTATGGAAACAAGTTTTTTATTCATAATTTTATAAAAATATCAATGAACAAAAACAAAAACAAAAAATAAATGAATAGACATGTGATATCTGTTTGACTTTTTAAAACAATAAAGTTTGCCAAGGGAGTCAAAATGTATACAATAATAGCGGTGTCAAGTTTTTTTGGTGGGGAACAAAGATTAAACATTGCCCACTCAATGTTTTTTTTTTCCCCAAGTGTTCTTCAGATGGTTGAATTTCTTCTTACCACCTAAATCAAGTCAGAAAGAAGAAATTTGGATAACAACTTGGTGAATAAATATAAATGTCTATAGAATTTTCTGTGTCGCAAGAATTGATGGAAATGGTCTTGGTATTTTTGCTAGAAATTTATTTTTTGCTTGGCATCATTTTTAGAGAAAAACAACACAAAACCTGACACTTTATTCATTGGTTCAGACTGATTGGAATGATCTTTGCCGTCATATTCTGTGGAAATAGATGTGATTCTTTATGGATTTCACTACTGAAGAAGGCTATAGAATGTTTCAACCTGAAACAGTGCGCTAACAACACAACTTACAAAAAGAATAAGTTCAATAGTCCAAATAATTCTCAAAATACTTCTATGTATTGAGTCGCTTCAGGACGACTGGCGATCTCCGCAATTTCCTGTCCATCTTAGTAAATTTTGTCTTTTTGCTATCTCACCTAAGCCCTGTTCTGCCAACTATTTATATAAGCTTGTTATATGCCGCTTACCTCTGATCTTTTTGCCTACAATATCTTTTGTGAGTGACAGATTTTCTAAGCCCTCTTTCCTCATGATGTGTCTTAGAAATATCAATTCTCTCTTTTCCACGCTAAGTCCAAGTATCTTTTTGTTTCTATTTTCTCTAAACTTTTGTCGTTGCTCTCACTCATGTTCAGTTCATGGTATTCTCGGCGTCTTCCTGTAAAACCACATTTCTGTTGTCTCAGGACACTTCGTCATCTGTGAGGAATCTGTTATGTATTTACTACTATATAGAAGGAATGATGTTACATGATAGTTTCTTGGTTTCTAAAGAAATTTTCCTATTTCTTAATATGTTGTTTAGCTTTTGAAAGGCGTCTTTCACTCTCCAAATGCGCCTTTGGATTTTAGTGTTACCTTTTCTGTTAAAACATTTCCTATATATTTAAGTTTTTGTATTTGCTTGATTTTGGTATCTCTAAATTGTAATTTGCATGTTGGGCTGTCCCTTATGCTAACTGTTGTAGTAAACCCTCCTACATAGAATGAACTCTTCCTCCTCTCATAAAAACTAACTGCATGAGTCGATTGGGGTGCCGAGACTTACCGTTCGGACGTACACCTCTATCTGCTTATTACTAACACTCTTGCTTTGTATATATCTGTTATTTCAATACACTTGTTTCAACCTACCTTTGTCTTCCATGTCTTTCTTTCTGGCCCCTAAACAGGCCACAACACTAACAACCATGCATTCTGTTTTAGAAAAGGAAAATAGATATTTGTTTAACAGGGACAAATTCATGGAGTAACAGTTCATGTGATTAACAAGGTAAATGTCATTATTCAAAAACATTAATAGATGGTTAAAATATTAATAAGTAGAACGATTTATTTAATTATCACTGACACGTGGTCTGTTTTGTTACCTAAAACTATTTTAATTACTCATAAATCCTAGTTATTAGGTTGGTGCAAAAATAATGTCGTAATAATGTCGTTTTTGACGTATTTTAACGTCAAAAAACGACATTAATACGTCATTATTTTTGCACCAACCTAATAGTTACTTGATTCTTTTGCTCCCTCCCACTACTCTACTGACTCAGAGTGTGTAGCACAGGTGGAACTCAGTTTTCATGGGGGGTGGGACTGACATCGTTTTGTCTTCTTCGGGATATTCTGTCTCCCCACCTGACGAACGAAGGTGAGTTTTCATGATTGGTATTTTTTAAACGGTTTATTTATATATATATATATATGGTAGCTGTCGATTCTCAAAGTGAGTATGACCATCACTGACATATCCAGCCCTTCACTTAAACTACCCCCACAACACGGCATTTATCGGTTATGTGAACGACAGTGGCTCAATAAAGCCAACCATTGATCTGCGTTTCTTGTCACATATCAAATCATCTCCGTATGGTGGTATTAGACTTTGATCATAATCACTTCCAATGTGCCCAACCTGAACTTGCACAATCTAGTGGAGGTTGAGCATTTAAAGCATAACATTATGAAATCGTAATATATAATACTGTTGGTGTGAGCGCTGGTGACTGAGCAAACCCGCCCTGGACAGATATATCTGAGTGCATTGTGTACATGGCCAGGTTGGCACTTCATACCAATTCAGGGATCGCTTCCGAATCCCTCTGTTCAATTTTACATATTTTTGTGATGCCTCATGGAAGATCTTGACGCCATCAGCAATACCAGCTCGCTAAGAAACCGGGTCTTCAATTAGTCTCTCAGTTATTCAGACCAATATTGCACGTGTATAGTGACTCTCAAAGGCAATCTTTTTAACGAAGTTTGTGCTTGTATTGTGGTCTTTTTCCCATTTCCAATTTTCTATACATTATGGAATTCTGTCAACCGCCATATGGACAACATCGCCCGTCCATCGCAATCAGTGCTTGTGTATAAGTGCTTCCACAGAGTTAATTGACACTTTGTAGAACAATAGTAGCAGAGGTGTGATATATCTAATGGATTTCAAGCACACACCGAAGGCAGCGTTGATGAAAACGTTAAGATGTCTGCGGTAGACTACCCATGTCTCACATGAATATAGTAGAGATGACATATCGTAGGCATTATATATTTTAGTTTTTGTGTGCTTCTGACTCTAGATGAACACTGAGTGCTGCAAATGCATCGGATAGATTCTTAATCCGTAATGCTATCTCATCGTCAAGAGAGCAATGGCGGTTGAGAATTCTACCAAGGTATACAAATTTGTCTACTACCCTAAGTCAACTACCATCAACATAAATTGATGTCTCTACAGTGGCCTAAAAAAGATTTTAGCCAGGAGAAATAAACTACATCCAATTTCAAAATTTAATTACGTAATCTCTACTCAATATAAACAAACGTTATTTGGAACTGGTATAGAGTAGGTACTCCATTTGCTAGTTTCAGTGCTTGTATTCGATTTTTCATGGATTTGATTAAGTTATCAACAATCGTCTGATCCATATTTTGCCTCTCCTTTAGCAATGTTTCTTTAAGGGCTGCCGCTGATGTGATTTTGGTTGCACACTCTCGAAGTTTTCGGTGACGGTTATTCCAAACGTGTTCTATTGGATTCATATCAGGATTTTAGTCTACCCATGGCAGTGACTTGCTTCCTTGCGATTTCTTCCAGGCCTTTGCTACTTTACTCCCATGACATGGCGCTCCATCTTTTTGATAAAGATAGATATTCTTGTCAATTTGATTGGTTTCAAATAGTGGGAGTATTCCTTTCTCTAGTATTTGATAGTATTTTGGACCATCAAACCACTCATCAACAAGAATCAGCACAGATTTCCCTCCAAACCAGACAACACCCACACCATTATTCCAATCCCTCCATGTTTCACGGCTACTTGCAGACAATCAATGTTCCAAGTCTCATTCTGATTTCTCTAAACATAAACCTGTCTCGAATTTACTTTCATCTATCCAAATTACAGACTGCCAAAATTCATAATCTTTGCTCTCGAATTCTCTCGCCGATTCCATACGACTGTTCCTGTTAACCTCTGAAATCAAGGGCTTTCTTTCTTGCAAATCTTCTTTGATAGTCGAGTTTTTTCAGGGTCTTTCTCGCCGCATATGGCGACATTTCCATGCTGTTGGCGACATCTTTGACGATATAACGACGGTTTCTGATGACTTACCTCTTCAACATCCTTTTTCTTCACTCAGACACGATGTTTTATCTTCCCGTACGTTGTTCCAGACGACAATGTTCTTTTTCGTTAAATTTTTTGACAATATTATTAACCGTTTGATGATCAACCTGGAAAAAACCTAGCAATTTCTCTATTTGACTTGCCACGATCATGACATCTTATTATTTGCCCTCCTTGAAATTCACCAATTTTCTTACTTTCGCGAACTTTCATTGCAAAATATAAGTCAACTATCGTTCATAGATTAGAAAAGCTTGATACTAACACGGTATTGTCTCAAAAAAAAAAATAAATAAATAAAAGAAGATACATTATTACACAAGCCAAAATTGCTGTAATTAAGAGTTGCTAAAAACTTATCATAGCCCACTGTATATACTGAATTCAGTTTGATACATCACCACTGTCTTGTCAAGGGTGATGGACAATCCAAGAGCCTTATAGTCGATCCATGAATTCCTGTACGTGCTGATTTGTGTGTGCGAATTGTCACAATCAACGGCATAGAAAGGTTGCACACTAAATTCAAAAACACCTTTGTCCTTGCTGCAAACCTACGTATGTTGCTTGCCAATTGACCTGTACCTTATCATAATACCATTATGGTCCCGAGCACATCCAGCAGTACAATAGCAAAGTAGATAAAAATAAACACAATGTAGAAGCCAGAAGCTGTCCCTGCTTGAATCCATTTTCAACCTTGAGCCCCGTAAGCATACCGCCAAAACTGATACAAGTTTTCATACCGTCATAGAAGCACCTCAGAACCTTGAGAAATGTGGTGAGGTCAGCCCTATTTCGAGAAGATCAAAAAATGATTAACAGTGTCAAAAGCCTTCTTCAGATCTACAAGTATTTGATAAAGATCCATTTGTTGTTTACAACTCTTTTCTTGGATTTTTCGTGCTGTGAAAATCATATCCGCGGTCCCTCTGCTGGCGGGAACCACACTGTAACGAAGACAATATATGAACTTGCCTTCCCCTAGGGGAAACTGTCATTAGACCTCACGTACATTGACCTCTCTGTTGGGAGTGGTTGATAGCCCTGCAAATTTTGGGGTAAATATCTGTACCTATGTATGGTACTATTTAGGCCACACACCCACATATATATGGTAAACCCAACAATTACAAAATATATTTAAGAAAACTGCTTATATTATTTCATAACTCTTTCAATCATAGTCTGAAGTTGATAAATAAAATACTCTTTTTCTCTCTCTATTTTGTTCAGGTACTGTGGCTGTGGTCAGTTTAATGGTTGGTTCAGTGGTGTCAACACTTGAAGCGGAACCAACACAAATGTCATCATTAAACACAACTCTGGGTGCTGGCAATGATTCCTTATTGAGCAACACAGAAAGTGTGCTTCATGATGATTTAGTGGCCAGAAAAATAAAGCTGGCAGGTGCAATAACGTTCATGGCTGGAGTTGTACAGGTAAGAAAATGATGCCATTATTGATCAAATTAAGTAACAAATGACGCAAGAAATGCACTGTAACAGTGAAAATCAAATGTTACAGTGCATTTCATTTGATTATAATACATAGAAAAATATCTGTGGATATGAACGGATTATGTTAAAAATAAACAGAAATAATGTTTGTAATTTATTTAATCAAAAGATATATATATATATATATATATATATATATATATATATATATATAGGAAAAAAAGTTGAAAATGCAACTGTAAGACTTTAAGAATATCTATTTCGAGTGACTTTACTGGTTTCACAGTTCTATGATTTTCAAAAGTTAAATTGAGATCGAGAGTACTGTGGCTATACCATGATATGTCTTGCATCTAACTGGTGTCGGAGAATTTTTCCATTTTATGCTAAACAAAGGATTCAAATTGTTATCTGTTTAAAATCCAATCTGGTTTGTTGATTATAATCACGTGATCAGGCATAGTTATTTTGCGCCCAAAACTGATGATCATAAAATTTTGTTGTCAAAGATTGGAAGTGTCTTAGTTTGGTTTGCATAGCTAATGACAACAAACTGTAGTTCATGATAAGAAAGTAGTTAAGTAGTTTAAGTGTCAGGAATTCTATTTTATTGCACCTTACTAGCAATCCCCAAAAGTTCAATGTACAAGAACTAACTTTGTGTGTTGTGTGTGTGTGGGAGGGGAGGTGATTTTCAAATGTCAGAACTGTCTGAACATTGTAATTGTACACATTGTTGTCATTTGCATGATGCTAGCCATGGCTGATAAAACCAGCCTTAGATAAGCATATCCTAGCACAGATCTCGTAACTAAATATTCTCTCTATTTCAATAATGTATCTTTTCCTTACAGTATCTTTCACACACACACACACACACACAACACACTATCTGAATGCCATTTTGACTCCTCTTGTAATTATATATTTGAACATTTATTTTTTACATTTGAATAATTTCATAGAAACTTGTATTTTTTCATTTATTTTAATTGTTTCAGATTATCCTTGGCTATTGCAAGCTGGGTGTGGTCACAACTTACATGTCCGATAGTCTTGTTAGTGGATTTACCACTGGGGCTGCAGTTCATGTGTTTACAAGTCAAGTAAAATATGTCTTTGGGCTCAAAATAAAAAGATTCAGTGGAATGTTTCAACTTGCCTTGGTAAGTATGTCTTTTATCCTATATATTAACAAACATTTGTATAGAAATAAGGAAATTAAACATAGAATTGGCTGTGCTAGAGGTAATGGTAAAGGTAATATTAACTATTTCCTTGTAAGGAAACATTTGGAATTCAAGTGACCAAGCAGCCAGTGATACTTTTGGTTAAGATATATAAAATGTTTCTATTAAAACAATTTTTCAGGAAAATAGATTTCTCAAGTCTAATGCTCTTTCTAGTACTGATGGGTGTTTCCTTCCTTGCTTTTTGTTTAAGGCAGTGTGAAACTTCAGCATTTTCATTATGACATTATTCTCTTCAAGATATATAATAACTTAAAACTGTATCGGGCCTTCCTCACAATAGGTAGAAGTGATAAGCAAAAATAAACTATGAAAGAACTCAAAATTGATTTAAGTATTGCATTAATATTCAAGCTTACATTTTAAAAGTTCAATGATAATTCTTTTGCCAGCACTTAATTTAAATACAATTTGATGTACATGGGTCCTTACTTTCTGTAAAAACAATTATTCTGACTTCATGGGTGACTTTTGCAGGATCTTGCAATTAATTTCAATTATTTCCAAATTTATTTTCAAGTTATGAAAATTCTTATCATACAAAAAAGAATTGATACAAAACATCTCATAAAAATGTAGGCAAAAACAATCGCAGTTATGAAAATTTGGGAATCCAAAATTTCAGGACCCAAGCCTTGTGAGTGAAATTGGGTAGATGGAACACTTGGGAGACTGTTGATAGCTGTTCTAGCACAGAGTCAAAAGTCACCATGACCAGGCGTTTCATTGTGCTGACCTTGTTCATATTGTTGATCACACTAGATAGCATACCTTCTCCCAGAGACTGTAACTAAGGTCTGCTCAGCATAGTTGCAGTATAAAAACCACAGGTTGGCTCTGTGGGTGCTGAACAAACACAAATGTGCCTGAGCGAGCGTCTGCAATAGGGATTGGCTAGCGGCCCTAATATTATTTATGTATGTATGTATATGATAAAAATATAGTTTTAAGGTATGCAATATTTACCTGATTGCATTCGATGAAAAGTTTGTTAAATCAAATAGTTGACATTGATAATCTACATTGTAATAGGAACTACTTAAATGTTCTGCTCATAAAAACACTGAAAATGTTTTCAGGCCATAATTTCATATATATAGGAGACATATTTAAAAAGAAAACCAATTAAATCCTATCTAGTAATTTTGTAGACCTATAGAAACTTTTTGTTGTGAATAATCATCCTCTTTTTCTGTTTTTATTCTCTTTCTGAGAATTTTGAATTATCGTCAGTTAAATGTTTGCATTGGACTTTTAGAAAAAACTTTAAAATAAAATCAACTTAAATCTTTGGCTGATTAAGGGATTAAACGTCGTAATTCATTAAACCGTTACCAAGAAGACATTCCAGAAAAAGCCATTGCATTTATTATAATAAAAAAAATATTGATTTTTTTTATCAATTTAGAAGTGGGTGTCCTGTTCATCATACTGATATAGAGTAAAATCGATCCCTGACTTTTTGCAGATTTATTAGACTGATCTGTTATTTACAAATGTCAAATTTGAAAGTGTGCTGACATCATTGATATCTGCATCAGTTTCTTTTTTTTACTTTTCTGAACTTTTTCCCTTTATATTTAAACAAAAACAACATTTTTTTGTTTGGGATGTTCTTGGAAACACATGAGCAAACACTGGGGGATAATAAATATATTTTTTTAAATCAGTTCGCTCCAAGTAAGGTGATAATGCCACTAAGACGCAATGGGCTACTGGAACTAAAAGAGCATGAATAGACTTTAGAAGGAACTGGAAACCCAATCCTAAACAGGAAACAAAGGCTAAATCTCTACTCCTGTTCAAAAGACTGGAGAGGAGTATGAAATGGGTGATAGATGAACCTATCTACTCCTGCTGAGGAAAAAAAAAATTAAATAAATAATTAGTGAATAAAATTTCCGAGTCCAGGCAGAGACATTATAATATTTGAATGGGATAATCCACATTAAAAGTAGAAAATTGAACCAATGGAATAGTAAAAAATAGCAAACAGAAAAACATTGAAAATGAGAATAATTCAGAAACCTCATTGAATATTATGAGAATTGGAGAAAATCTAGAAAAATGTTAAATAGATTGCAATTAGAAATTCACTTCAGTTGGACAATAGGCGAACCTATCTACTAAAAATAAATGAACATATACATTTATTAATTTAATTATTTTTTTCTTTAATTCATTTGTTTGTTTTTTTTTTATTTAAAAGTAATCTTTTTATAAAAAGCTCTGTATTAATATACAGAACAACTAACTCTGTAAAAAGGAGTAACAGAATTAATTTCAACTCTGAACCTCAAAACGGTAATTTACAGTTCAAGCCCCACACTCAGTTTCTAATAAAAATTTCCTGAATAGTTTCCATTTAGGTGTAAATGTACATGCTTAATTTGAAAATAACAAAGAAATTTTGATAAAATCTGCCATTTTGGAGTTATTGACAATAAAAGTTTGGACTCATTCACGTCGTAGTGGGTAATGTCGAAATTAATTCTGCACCATGTAAAAAGTCAGAGATCAATTTGGCCCTACTTATCAATATTATGATCAGTTTGGCTCCTTATCAATATTATGATCAATTTGGCCCCCCTTATAAATATTATGATAAGTTTGCCCCATTATCAATATTATGATCAATTTGGCCCCATTATCAATATAATGATCAGTTTGGCCCCTTATCAATATTATGATCAATTTGCCCCCCCTTATCAATATCATGGTAAGTTTGACCCTTATCAATATTATGATCAATTTGGCCCCTTATCAATATTATGATCAGTTTGGCCCCCTTATCAATATTATGATCAATTTGCCCCCCTATCAATATTATGATAAGTTTGGCCCTTATCAATATTATGATCAATTTGGTCCCCATTATCAATATTATGATCAATTTGCCCCCACTATCAATATTATGATCTGTTTGCCTCCCCCATCAATATTATGATCAATTTGCCCCCCACCATTCAATATTATGATCAGTTTGGCCCCCCCCCTATCAATATTATGATCAATTTTTTGGAGTTATTGACATAAAAGTTCGAACTCATTCACGTCGTAGTCGGTAATGTCGAAATTAATTCTGCACCCAGTAAAAAGTCATAGATCAATTTGGCCCTACTTATCAATATTATGATCAGTTTGGCCCCTTATCAATATTATGTACTGGACTAAAATGATAAAAGATTTTTTTATTTTGATAACTTTGAGTGATTGCTACTTGGGAAAAATTATTTCTCAAAAAGACTTTTCCCTACTTTTATGAGTTTGGTCAGTCTAAGTTGAACCTTGTAATAAAATATCCCAGGATCCGATTAGATGATTTTTTTACCATGGTTAAAACTCTACAAAGAAATATTTACACATTGAATGTCCAGATATTTGCTGTTTCTTTTCAGACCTATGTGGAAATTTTTAAGAATATACAGAAGACAAATCTTGCTGAAATGACCATTTCCTTCATCTGTATGATAATCATCTACTTGGTTAAAGTTCAAGTAAACCAGCGTTTCAAAGACAAATTGAAGATCCCTATACCAATTGAACTTTTTGTGGTAAGTATGCAAGTTATTCATATCTATCTATCTATCTATCTATCTATCTACATATATATATAGTATCTCTATCTATAAAAGGCAGGATGTGTGTGTGTGTGTAACGAATGCATGGCTGCAATTTTCAACTTATTTGCACCAAAATTTACATGCACATGCTCCAAGTTAGCAGGAAGCCCAAGACCGACTTTGCATTTCCCAACTCCCGTCGATAGTGGAAATAATTGATTTTTTCATGCTTCTACAGCAATTTTCATGTAGTTTGCGGCCATTTCGTACTGGCCAGAGTGAGAGCCAATAGCTGGCTGCCACGAATAGTCAAGATGAATGTTAACTAGCATGCTAGCATGCAAAAAAATCGATAGCTGCATTCATCACAAGTGGGAAAAAATTTAAATCTGCATGGCACTTTACTCCAATTGGCTCATTCGCTTGCTTAAACTCAACGTTGATTCTGATTCCCCAGAACTGGGTTGGGTGTGAAAAAGTATTTGTTGTTAACATTCTTTTTTCATTCGGTTTTTCCAGATACGAGTCCTTTTTTTAAAGCTGATCATTTTGTGTTCATTTTGTTTAGTTTTTTTTCGTAACAGATTTAATGTTTAGTATAGAGCTTAGAAAAAATTCGCAGTGTGAGATAGGCAAGAAGTAAGGCATGTAGCAACATCAGCACAGCAAAGGGCACTCCTTTAAAGGCAAGGAAGGCCAAAAATATTTTAAGTCAAGTGATAATGATTGCTGTATGAGTTGTATGATTTTTGAAAATAAGCACAGGCAATGCCAGGCTATGCTGCTAGTTTTTATTATAATAAACTACAATAAAAACATTTTTCATCGCTATACAAAAACATAATGTTTTGGGCGATGGTAGATAACTAATGATAAAATGATTTATTAGGGAAATTTAAAGAAGAAATCTTTACCTCTTTTTGTAAGTTAAAGTGGGCGGTATAAGGTCAGAATTAATATGTTAACTTATGAAAAGAGGTGAAACATTGATTTTGTGGCCATGAGACCCAGGTTCGAATCTCACTATGGTCAATTTGTCAGGAAGGAGACTTCTTAATGTTATCAGAATGGCTTGAGGTTGATCCCAGTGTGTGGTACCTTTGGAAAGTGCCTGAAAACCATACCACAGGTTGACCCAAGCCTTGTGAGTGAAATTGGGTAGACGGACATTGTAAGGACTGGTGATAGCTGTGCTAACACAAAGCTACAAATCATCATGGTCGAGGGCTTGAGTGTGTTGGCTTTGTTCAAATTGTTGATCACACTAGATAACATGCTCTCTTCCAGAAACTGTAACTAAGGTCAGCTCAGTATAGTTGCAGTATAAAGCACAGGTGGGCTCTGTGGGTGTTGAGCAAACACAAGTGTGCCTGAGCAAGCGTCTGGCATGTAGACGGGTATCCTCGAATATGAGTGACCAGCTATTATTATTATTATTATTATAATATATGGAGAGAGAAAGAGAGAGAGCGGCTTTGGGAAAGAAGACTTGGCTGTTGGGGCACAATCCATTTGGTTTCATATATATATATATATAGCTTTGCTGAAGATTTTAAAAAAGGTAATGAAGCAAATGGTTATTAAGTGTCAGGGGAATATAAAAAAAGGAAAACATTATTAAGGTCAAAGAACAATAAAAGAACAGGAATTAAGATGACAGATAATAACAATTGACATTGCATTTAAATTTTTTAAGAAAGGAAATTGACTGGAAAGCAAGAAGCTGGAAGAGAGTTCCACAAGCAAGAAGTGTGAGAGGAGAAACTGTTAGCAATAAAACTTAGGGTTATATCTAACCATTTCAACTGTAAAATGATGAGTCTTTGACACAAATCTAGTATTGCACTTAAAATCATAAAGACTGGGAACCAAAGAGGGAAGCTCATGAGCACAATTAGCATGGAAATATTTATAAAAAAAATAGGCCCAGTGAAACTATGTTACTGTGGTAGTAGGTGACTGAGATGCCAGGTCAGAACCAATAACATTGCATATTTTTCTTTGTATTTTATCAAGCATCTCTAAATACATACCAGATGTACCAGTCTGGGTATGACAACAATATTCAAAACAAGCATGAATGATGGATATATAAATGTAAGATCTGATTCTAGCAATAAAAATTATCTAGCATGACACAATAAACCAACTTTCAATTCACTCTCCTGGAGGTTAGCATCAGCCATACTTATGGAAGGATACAACAGTTCCCTTAGACAATTAATAGAAAACTGGGAATAAGCAGCTAAAAAAATGCTGATGGCAATCCCTCATGGATGTCGCCATTTTTGTTTTGATAGGATACTTGGCAGTACAGACTAAGTCAAACAACCCCTCCCTCAACACACAATATAATAAAAATACATTCCTAAAATAGGCTGTACTGTATATCACTGTATGTCTATGCTTGTTTGAAAATAGCACTAGGTGCAAGATGGCCTATGACATAAATGCAAAGGGCTGCTATTTCATTATATCTTGAATAATTATTTATATGTTGACAGTTGGTAATGTAAATTTCATAAGAAACATACAAGTGGAAGTTTTATTAATCTTCCCCCAAATAAATGTTCAGATAAATGTCTTTCATTGATTTCTACAGCTTATGGCCACATCACTGAAGTTAAGTAACATCAAGCCTGGTTAGTGTCGAGGTGGGTGACTACTTGGGAATACCAGGTGCTGTATGCTTGTATGTGTGGGTTGTGTAATGGCTTGCAGTTGTAAATTGGAGAGTTTCAATTTCCATTGGGTTCATCATATTCACTTACACACAAATACCCTTGGGAAAGGAATGAACTCACAACTTCTCCCCCAGTTATGGATTAATTAGTAAGACTTTCATCATTATCTCAAAAAATATTTCAATCTAAAAATATTTTCTGGCTTTAAATAACATGTATCTTTTACTTAATCAAATTCAGGTAAGAAAGTCACAGGTAAATGTCACAGCCTCCTAAGTAAGATGATAAACTACATCGAACAGCAAGGCCTCTGATCAAGAGGTTTTGAGGAGCATGGAACCACTTCTTAATTGCTAGTGCTCCCAGTCTACCCTGACCTGATGTAACACCTGTCAGGTCCCAGTTATGGGCAAATATTTACCCCCTCCCAAAAGAGATCAAAACACTATGCAATTATAAAAATATGTTTTAATACCAGCAATCACTTTTTGGAAAAATTTTTTCCAACAACACATTTTGAAAACAAAAAAAAAAATTCACTAGCAATACATTTTTGGAAAAAAAATATTATCAACAATATATTTTTGGAAAAAAAAAATTACCAGGAATAAAAACTTGTTGGTATTAAATAACCCATTGAAGTTGATATGCCATAAACCAAACCAAACCAAACCAAAAAGTAACAGGATAAAAAAACAAAAAACAGCATATGCCGAGCACACAGCGGACAAAATCCTAGCCTCTTAACCCAAAAATAGGCAAAATCCCAGCCTCTTATCCCAAAAGTAAACAAAACACCAGCCTCTTATCCCAAAAGTAGGCAAAATCTCAGCCTCATTTCCCAAAAGTAGACAAAACCCCAGCCACTTATCCCAAAAGTAGACAAAATCCCAGCCTCTTATCCCAAAAGTAGACAAAACCCCAGCCTCTTATCCCAAAAGTAGACAAAACCCCAGCCTCTTATCCCAAAAAAAAGTAGGCAAAACCAAACCCCAGCCTCTTATCCCCAAAAAGTAGGCAAAATCCCAGCCTCTTATCCCAAAAGTAGACAAAACCCCAGCCTCTTATCCCAAAAGTAGACAAAATCCCAGCCTCTTATTCCAAAAGTAGGCAAAACCCCAGCCTCTTATCCCAAAAGTAGGCAAAACCCCAGCCTCTTATCCCAAAAGTAGACAAAACCCCAGCCTCTTATCCCAAAAGTAGACAAAATCCCAGACTCTTATCCCAAAAGTAGACAAAATCCCAGCCTCTTATCCCAAAAGTAGGCAAAATCCCAGCCTCTTATCCCAAAAGTAGACAAAATCCCAGACTCTTATCCCAAAAGTAGACAAAATCCCAGCCTCTTATTCCAAAAGTAGGCAAAACCCCAGCCTCTTATCCCAAAAGTAGACAAAACCCCAGCCTCTTATCCCAAAAGTAGACAAAATCCCAGACTCTTATCCCAAAAGTAGACAAAACCCCAGCCTCTTATCCCAAAAGTAGGCAAAATCCCAGCCTCTTATCCCAAAAGTAGACAAAACCCCAGCCTCTTATCCCAAAAGTAGGCAAAACCCCAGCCTCTTATCCCAAAAGTAGGCAAAAAGCCTCTTATCCCAAAAGTAGACAAAACCCCAGCCTCTTATCCCAAAAGTAGACAAAACCCCAGCCTCTTATCCCAAAAGTAGGCAAAACCCCAGCCTCTTATCCCAAAAGTAGACAAAACCCCAGCCTCTTATCCCAAAAGTAGACAAAACCCCAGCCTCTTATCCCAAAAGTAGACAAAACCCCAGCCTCTTATCCCAAAAGTAGGCAAAATCCCAGACTCTTATCCCAAAAAGTAGACAAAACCCCAGCCTCTTATCCCAAAAGTAGGCAAAACCCCAGCCTCTTATCCCAAAAGTAGACAAAACCCCAGCCTCTTATCCCAAAAGTAGACAAAATCCCAGCCTCTTATCCCAAAAGTAGACAAAACCCCAGCCTCTTATCCCAAAAGTAGGCAAAACACCAGCCTCTTATCCCAAAAAGACAAAACCCCAGCCTCTTATCCCAAAAAACAAAACCCCAGCCTCTTATCCCAAAAGTAGACAAAACCCCAGCCTCTTATCCCAAAAAGTAGACAAAACCCCAGCCTCTTATCCCAAAAAGTAGACAAAACCCCAGCCTCTTATCCCAAAAAGTAGACAAAATCCCAGACTCTTATCCCAAAAGTAGACAAAACCCCAGCCTCTTATCCCAAAAAGTAGGCAAAATCCCAGCCTCTTATCCCAAAAGTAGACAAAACCCCAGCCTCTTATCCCAAAAAGTAGACAAAATCCCAGCCTCTTATCCCAAAAAGTAGACAAAACCCCAGCCTCTTATCCCAAAAAAGTAGGCAAATCCCCAAACCCCTCTTATCCCAAAAAAGTAGACAAAACCCCAGCCTCTTATCCCAAAAAGTAGACAAAACCCCAGCCTCTTATCCCAAAAAGTAGACAAAACCCCAGCCTCTTATCCCAAAAGTAGACAAAACCCCAGCCTCTTATCCCAAAAGTAGACAAACCCCAGCCTCTTATCCCAAAAAAGTAGACAAAACCCCAGCCTCTTATCCCAAAAAAGTAGACAAAACCCCAGCCTCTTATCCCAAAAGTAGACAAAACCCCAGCCTCTTATCCCAAAAGTAGGCAAAACCCCAGCCTCTTATCCCAAAAAGTAGACAAAACCCCAGCCTCTTATCCCAAAAAGTAGACAAAACCCCAGCCTCTTATCCCAAAAAGTAGACAAAACCCCAGCCTCTTATCCCAAAAGTAGACAAAACCCCAGCCTCTTATCCCAAAAGTAGACAAACCCCAGCCTCTTATCCCAAAAAGTAGACAAAACCCCAGCCTCTTATCCCAAAAGTAGACAAACCCCAGCCTCTTATCCCAAAAGTAGACAAAACCCCAGCCTCTTATCCCAAAAGTAGGCAAAATCCCAGCCTCTATCCCAAAAGTAGACAAAAAAGCCTCTTATCCCAAAAGTAGACAAAACCCCAGCCTCTTATCCCAAAAAGTAGACAAAACCCCAGCCTCTTATCCCAAAAGTAGACAAAACCCCAGCCTCTTATCCCAAAAAGTAGACAAAATTATCCCAAAAGTAGCCTCTTATCCCAAAAGTAGACAAAATCCCAGCCTCTTATCCCAAAAAGTAGGACAAAAAGCCTCTTATCCCAAAAAGTAGACAAAACCCCAGCCTCTTATCCCAAAAAGTAGACAAAACCCCAGCCTCTTATCCCAAAAGTAGACAAAATCCCAGCCTCTTATCCCAAAAAAGTAGACAAAATCCCAGCCTCTTATCCCAAAAAAGTAGACAAAACCCCAGCCTCTTATCCCAAAAGTAGACAAAACCCCAGCCTCTTATCCCAAAAGTAGACAAAATCCCAGCCTCTTATCCCAAAAGTAGACAAAATCCCAGCCTCTTATTCCAAAAGTAGACAAAACCCCAGCCTCTTATCCCAAAAGTAGACAAAACCCCAGCCTCTTATCCCAAAAGTAGACAAAAGCCTCTTATCCCAGCCTCAAAATCCCCAAAAGTAGACAAAACCCCAGCCTCTTATCCCAAAAGTAGACAAAACCCCCTCTTATCCCTAGGCAAAATCCCAGCCTCTTAAAAAAAAGTAGACAAAATCCCAGCCTCTTATCCCAAAAAAGTAGACAAAATCCCAGCCTCTTATCCCAAAAAAGTAGACAAAAAGTATCCCAAAAACAAACCCCAGCCTCTTATCCCAAAAAGTAGACAAAACCCCAGCCTCTTATCCCAAAAGTAGGCAAAACCCAGCCTCTTATCCCAAAAGTAGACAAAACCCCAGCCTCTTATCCCAAAAGTAGACAAAACCCCAGCCTCTTATCCCAAAAGTAGACAAAACCCCAGCCTCTTATCCCAAAAGTAGACAAAACCCCAGCCTCTTATCCCAAAAAGTAGACAAAACCCCAGCCTCTTATCCCAAAAAAAGTAGACAAAACCCCAGCCTCTTATCCCAAAAAGTAGACAAAACCCCAGCCTCTTATCCAAAAAGTAGACAAAACCCCAGCCTCTTATCCCAAAAACAAAATCCCAGCCTCTTATCCCAAAGTAGACAAAACCCCAGCCTCTTATCCCAAAAGTAGACAAAACCCCAGCCTCTTATCCCAAAAGTAGACAAAACCCCAGCCTCTTATCCCAAAAGTAGACAAAACCCCAGCCTCATATCAAAAAGTAAAAAAAAGTAGACAAAACCCCAGCCTCTTATCCCAAAAGTAGACAAAATCCAAGCCCCCATCCCCAAAAGTAGGCAAACCCCCCTTATCCCAAAAAGTAGGCCTCTTATCCCAAAAAAAGACAAAACCCCAGCCTCTTATCCCAAAAGTAGACAAAATCCCAGCCTCTTATCCCAAAAGTAGACAAAACCCCAGCCTCTTATCCCAAAAGTAGACAAAACCCCAGCCTCTTATCCAAAAGTAGACAAAAAAAGACCTCAGCCTCTTATCCCAAAAGTAGACAAAATCCCAGCCTCTTATCCCAAAAGTAGACAAAACCCCAGCCTCTTATCCCAAAAAGTAGACAAAACCCCAGCCTCTTATCCCAAAAAAGTAGACAAAATCCCAGCCTCTTATCCCAAAAAGTAGACAAAACCCCAGCCTCTTATCCCAAAAGTAGACAAAACCCCAGCCTCTTATCCCAAAAAAACAGAAAAACCCCCACCTCTTATCCCAAAAGTAGGCAAAACCCCAGCCTCTTATCCCAAAAAGTAGACAAAACCCCAGCCTCTTATCCCAAAAGTAGGCAAAACCCCAGCCTCTTATCCCAAAAGTAGACAAAACCCCAGCCTCTTATCCCAAAAGTAGGCAAAACCCCAGCCTCTTATCCCAAAAGTAGACAAAACCCCAGCCTCTTATCCCAAAAGTAGACAAAATCCCAGCCTCTTATCCCAAAAGTAGACAAAACCCCAGCCTCTTATCCCAAAAGTAGACAAAATCCCAGCCTCTTATCCCAAAAAGTAGACAAAACCCCAGCCTCTTATCCCAAAAAGTAGACAAAATCCCAGCCTCTTATCCCTCTTAAAAAGTAGACAAAATCCCAGCCTCTTATCCCAAAAGTAGACAAAATCCCAGCCTCTTATCCCAAAAAGTAGACAAAACCCCAGCCTCTTATCCCAAAAGTAGGCAAAACCCCAGCCTCTTATCCAAAAAGTAGACAAAATCCCAGCCTCTTATCCCAAAAGTAGACAAAATCCCAGCCTCTTATTCCAAAAGTAGACAAAACCCCAGCCTCTTATCCCAAAAGTAGACAAAACCCCAGCCTCTTATCCCAAAAGTAGGCAAAACCCCAGCCTCTTATCCCAAAAGTAGACAAAATCCCAGCCTCTTATTCCAAAAAGTAGGCAAAAAATCCCCCCAGCCTCTTATCCAAAAAGTAGACAAAAAGTCCCAAAAAGGACAAAACCCCAACTCTTATCCCAAAAGTAGACAAAACCCCAGCCTCTTATCCCAAAAGTAGACAAAATCCCAGACTCTTATCCCAAAAGTAGACAAAATCCCAGCCTCTTATTCCAAAAGTAGGCAAAACCCCAGACTCTTATCCCAAAAGTAGGCAAAACCCCAGACTCTTATCCCAAAAAGTAGACAAAACCCCAGCCTTTTATCCCAAAAGTAGGCAAAACCCCAGCCTCTTATCCCAAAAAGCAAAACCCAGCCTTATAGACAAAACCCCAGCCTCTTATCCCAAAAAGTAGACAAAATCCCAGACTCTTATCCCAAAAAGTAGACCCCAGCCTCTTATCCCAAAAGTAGGCAAAACCCCAGCCTCTTATCCCAAAAGTAGGCAAAACCCCAGCTCTCTTATCCCAAAAAGTAGACAAAATCCCAGCCTCTTATTATCCCAAAAAGTATCCCAAAAACCCCAGCCTCTTATCCCAAAAGTAGACAAAACCCCAGCGTCTTATATCCCAAAAGTAGACAAAACCCCAGCCTCTTATCCCAAAAAGTAGACAAAAAATCCCAAAAGTAGACAAAATCCCAGCCTCTTATTCCAAAAAGTAGGCAAAATCCTCTTATCCCAAAAAGTAGGCAAAAGCCTCTTATCCCAGCCTCTTATCCCAAAAAGTAGACAAAACCCCAGCCTCTTATCCCCAAAACACCAGCCTCTTATCCCAAAAGTAGGCAAAACCCCAGCCTCTTATCCCAAAAGTAGACAAAACCCCAGCCTCTTATCCCAAAAGTAGGCAAAACCCCAGCCTCTTATCCCAAAAGTATCCCAGTCTCATAAATAAATTGAAAATTCAAGGAACTTTTAATACAAATTTTAATGTCAAATTGAAACTTTCTACCCATAAAGTTGGGTCTTATTTGATACTCCCTATGAAATATATTGAATATCAGATCATAGCATTGTTAGAAAACGTTTTTAGAGGTTGAATTGATTTACTATGAATTTCTATTTCAAAGAGAGTAGACCCATAAACTTGTGAAGTATCCAACAAAAATAGATAAACTTATTACCAGCTACCATAAATTAATTTCAACTTTTTTCCTCGCTAAAATTGTGACTATTTTCTGTGACCTTTTTCCTGTGGCTCTATTACCATCCATGACTACTTTCTGGCAAATAGTTATCCGAAGGATTTTAAAAAAAGCGGATGTCACACACTAAAAGGTTAAATAGTTTCTAGCTTAGTAGTAGTTAATTAAACTAAAATTATGACCTATAAAGATGTATAAAGAAAGAGAATTATGCCAGTTCTTTTTTTTATCCATTATTATCTATTGATCTGCTTCATGTAATTTTTTACAATTTAGGTCATTGCTGGTACTCTTACATCTCATTATGAAAACTTCCATGAACGTTACAAGATCCGAATTGTTGGAGAAATACCTGCTGGGTAAGTAACACTAACAGACATTCATAAAGTTCCTGTTTGCACAAAAGTTGCAGATTTTCTTCTCGGCAATTGACACTTTCTTTAATGCTTTCTTTTACATTTTGACTGATTATTAATGTTGATTTCAATTAAACAAATTATCTCATAGAAATTCAAGATAATATTACTATTAATATTACTAGAGGAAAAACAATAGACATGAAGATGAAAGAAATACTAGTCAAAAATTAATAATGCCTTACAATTCCCGTAAAAAAAATTGAAAATCCGTCTCAGATGCTTCCTTCTCTATATTTATTTTTCTGATTTCAGTCTTCCTTCTCCAACTGTTCCTGCACTTGACGAAGGCAAATCTTTCATCGCTGATGCAATCATTATTGGTATCATTGCTTTTGCCCAATCTGTATCATTGGCAACGTTGATGGCCAAGAAACACAATTATGATATTGATGCAAATAAGGTGAGTCTTCTCTGAAATCCTTGCATTTTATCTGGGCTTGAACATTGACTGGAATTATCTAAACTTGAACATTGACTGGAATTATCTGGGCTTGAACATTGACTGGAATTATCTGAACTAGAACACTGACTGGAACCATACAACTGCTTTACTCATAAGAAAGAGCAGAAAATTACCTTCAGATCTTAGTGCAAAATACTGGATTATTTCAATCTGTAATGGTAATGATAAAATTAGCCGTTTCCTTACAAGAAAAAATTTGGCATTCATTGACTAAGTAGCATGTAATGCTTTTTGGCTTAAATTTATAAAATCTTTCTCTTAAAACAATTTTAAATTAAAACAGAAGTTGATGCCCTCCCCAATGGAGGCCATCAACACTTCTTTTTTGGGACACCTCAGATCTTAGGAATTGACTCTCATCATCACCCTCCCTCTAAATGCAATATGGAAGGTGTAGCCTTGCAGGAATGCTATCTAGAACTGGAGTTATTTTTGCCTCAAGGCCAAAAGGCTGAAAAGTAATGTCATCATCTTAGTTTGGTTTTGTCTAAAACCCCAAAAAGGGGGTCCCCAGTGAGTATCACGCTCACTACCCATTAGTAAAGGTCAACTGGAATAGCTTGTTAACCATTACCCCATATATTATTGTTATTTACTTAAAGATGATAATTTTTTACTACTGTTACACAATGTTGAAGCAGGCTATTGATGTATTACTTTGTCATCAATAGAACTTTATATCTTTGGAGCTTGGTGTTTAGAAAATGTAAAGCCAAAAACAGGAAGTTGGAATGAAAAAGATTAAATTAATTACTAATTTTTTTTTTGTTTTACAGGAACTTAAAGCTTATGGCATTGGCAATGTTTTTGGATCCTTCTTCTCTTGTTATCCATTTGCTGCTTCTGTTTCCAGAACATCAGTCCAAGATTCCGCTGGCGGTCGAACTCAGGTGAGTGCAGAAACTTCAATTTAGTATCATAATCATTCACTTTAATGTCTTTGTATTGAGATAATAGACTTGCTCTGTTTTGGATAGAGTCGAGCAACTACTAATAAGTTAGTTGTCACTTGGTATGGAGGTAGAACTTTAACATCAAAGACTAGAAGACATTACAATAATGTTCATCATTTTTTATCTAATCTGTAATTGAATGTATTTCTTAACTCAAATAATCTATGATTAAATCTACATCCCCTTAATAAATCATGTTTAAAACATATATTTAATGTACAAGAAACCCCGAAATAATAATCAGGTCAATGCATCATCAACATTTGACAGTTAAAACCATGTCAACAAACTTAATCTTTTTTTCTTCTAAAATGTTCTTTGAGGAAGCTCAGGTATCTAAGCATGGAGGAAGTTCTAAGGAAAATCAGACTGACAAAGAAGATATAAAAAGAGTTATTATAAAAAAATGTGAAATGATGAAGTTAATACAGAATTTTAAAAAGTATGATTAAGAAGCATTTTTTTAAAAAAAGAATTTTAAAATATTAAAAATAATTGTTAATTTAATAATAATAATTTTTTAATAAAAATATACATAATAATAATAATGATAATAATAATATGTGTCAAAGTACATGAAAGTAGTAAGGAACTTTATTCCGCAATAAAGGAAGGCAATAAGTTCAAAATGGAGTTTCAAGTAGGTGAAGAAATACAAGTAAAGTACAATACACTGACTGAAGCTGCAAAATACTTAAAAAAGAAAGCAAATGCAAATGTAACCGACCAGATACAGAAACGATGGCAAGATAAACCAATGGTCAATACTCTGCCCGTACCAAGCTGATGTAGACAAACCCCTTACCCATCAGTGGTTACATAGTGCAGAGTTAAAAGCTGAAACCAAAGGTTTATCCTTGCTGCACAGGACCAATGCTTGTTAACTAGAAATTATCAAGCACACATACTAAAATATTGTGTTAGCCCAAAATGCAGATTCTGTGATAAATATCCAGAAACAATTGACCATCTTGTATTAAATTGCAAATTATTGGCACCAACAGAATATAAAACCCAGCATGACAAAGTGGGCCAATATCTGCACTGGAAAATCTGCAACTTTTACGGGAAGGAAACTGAAAGAAATTGGTATGAACACCACCCAGACCCACTTATGGAGATAGGACCTGTAACAATTTTATGGGACTGCACAATACACAAAGACAGAACAATCAAAGCTAACCGCCCAGACAATCGTGATTAGAGACCCGCAAACAAAAAATTGCCTCCTTATTGATATAGCAGTTCATGTAGACTGTAATGTATCTTTGAAGATCTTCAAAAAGCTATCAAAATACAAGGACCTTGAAATCTAAATCTCAAAAATGTGGCACATGGGAACATCAACAATCCCTGTTGTAGTTGGAGCCTTTGGATTGGTTGGAAAAGATTCCAGTTGACTCATTGAAGGGAATCCTGGAAACCTATACCTTAAAGAAAAACAAAAACTGTTCTTATGAGTACATCTCACACCTTACAAAGGGCTTTATCTATGTAAAATATGTGTGTTGTTGTCATGTTTTTTTTTTTTAATTGCTCAGTGGAAAATATCATGATGCCATTTCTGACCTTAAGTCTCTGGGTGGGACCTGGAAAGATATGTGTACGCACTAGAAATCAAAGGAAATAATAATATTTTTATAAAAATGCACCTAATAATAATTTAATAAAAATTCGCTTAATAACAATAATAATATTTTAATAATAATGCACCTGATAATAATATTTTAATAAAAATAATATATATATATATATATATATATATATATATATGAAAAACTAAAATCATCCTTGATAATGGCTAAAAGTATAGCCTCAAAATTACAGGACATTTGGACAGTTTCTACACACAAAAGAAAACACTTGTTCAAACACAAGAAAAAATACATAAAAAGCTTAATTGTACCTTGTCTGTCATTTTTAATGAAACATGAATATATATATATATATATATATATATATATATATATATATATATTATACCCTTACCCTTACATGACATGTGCAATGATGCCTTTATGGGCTTTTTTCTTTTTGGTCTCAATTCTGCTCTCCATTTTCTCAAACTTGTCAAATAAGTTGCTTGCCATTTACCCCCCTTCACTTTATGCCTTGAATCATTGTAAAAAAATATAGATTCATATCTGATGTGTATATCTCAGCCTAGGCCAGTTATGGTATACTGCAGCCATTCACAGATAAATAAATTTAGTTTCTTATTTAAAGCATCTTTCATTGACTGCTTTTTATTTTCCTTTTTTACTCTCCACTGCTAATTATTTGGGAATTAAGTCCAGAGATCTCATCTGTTTTCTGTGATAAGAAACTGCTATACTGCTATGTGACAACTTATCTCTCATCAACTGAACCGGGCCACATCAGCACTTTGTAATGGTAATAGTAATATTAGCTGTTTCTTTACAAGGAAATATTTAGCATTCATTGACCAAATAGCCAGTACTGCTTTCAGTTAAAATTTATAAAATCTGTAATAATAGGTTTCTCAAATCCACTATTATTGCTTTTTCCAGTACTGTTGGGAGTTACCTTCCTATCCTTTTGTACGAAGTAATGTGGAATGTCAACCTCTTGATTATGTCATTATTTTCTCTTTAAGTTACATGCTATCTATTTTAGTTGTTGCTACTGTTTTTAGTTCTCAAGTTGTCTTTTTCTGTTATTTGGTATTGTTCTTTGTGAGAAAAAAAACATTGGTGTTGTTTCTCAGAAGAAGATGGGATAATAAACTCAGACTGATTGTATTTCTTATTGAGAATATTATGGTTTTAGATTTTTGCATTAGAATATGTCATTGGAAAAATTAAGAAATGACATTGGTGACAATGCCAGCATCTCTAGCCCTGTAAATTATTATTCATATTATTTTAAGTTGAGATTTATTTACATGTTATATATTTTAAATACTATATTGAATATATATATATATATATATATATATATATATATGACATAAATTAATCTGAAACTAAAATAGTATAAATAAAAATGAAAAATATCAGCAACAACTACATTTACTCACTTTCATTTATTAGACATTAATCATGTAGTTTTCTCCATAGTTAACCTTGACTTTCAGTTAGCCTGATATATATTTATGAGCATTCAAAAAGTTAAAAAAAATTCTGAAAAGCTATGGCTTTTATTTTTACTTCTGTCTATAAATACTTGTTGCAAAATAAAATCCTTACATTTGTCTTGGTAAAGTCCATCAGAGGACGAAATGCATCAGATAAGATAAATTTTTCCTTTTATTTTTGTTCATATTACCCTGTAAAAAATATATTTTAGTTATATCTGAATTTTTATGCACACACACATACACACATACACTTATATATATAAATGATAGAAATTATTGTGGGGATTTGAATAAACAAATCAAAGTAATTCAATGAGTCTAGAAGTATCCTCAACAAAATGCAGAAAGCACTGAATGGCCGTTTTATCCTATATTTGGGATGCATGAGCAGTGTGCATCCACTAACAAGAATTGAACCCGGACCATTATGATATAATGCAATCGTCATACCCTCTTGACCAACGAGCCTCGGTGACAAAGAGGTAACTATCTTGACTTGATATAGCACAGTTCTCACTTTCCATGGTGTAACTCATCCAAGTATACCTTTCCCATAAAATTGTGACCCCCCCCACCCAACACGAGTAATGTCTTTTTTCCCCAATCTGCTCTCTCCAGAGCATTAGGAAGCTGTTGATGTGCCCAATGATTCTCTAATTGTAACTTAGATGTGGCACAAGGCTGAAAGTATGGAGCACCCAGTGAAGATCAAACTCTCTCTCTCTTACACACACACACACACACACACACACACATATATATATATATATATTGCCTTATAAATTTTTACCGCTGTCACCTGGGATGCTTGCATTTAATGCTATCACTTTTATTTTTAAATCACAAATAAATATCTGTGTATTTATTTTGGAAAAACAGTAAACAAAGAACTAATTACTTTCTTGTAATCTTCTTCCTTTATTTAGGTGACCAACATTTTCTCTTGCATTCTTGTTTTGGTTGTGATTTTGGTTATTGGACCCCTTTTTGAGGATCTGCCAAATGTAAGTACTTATAAGCAATTCCTACTGTATTTTGCCTTGTCTTTATCCAAAGAGTTGTTCTCTCTTGTATTCTTAGATCTGCTATTATTTTATTGCTAAATTTCTGCCAATGCACTCTTTGGCTTCTTTGCAGAAGAAATCCTCTTCCCTTCAAAAAGGCTGAGGGTAGGAACCTGCCAATGCCATTGGTTCAATGATATGAAAAAAAGCTGAGGCAGACTTATTTTGTATTTATAACAGTTAATGATTTATGGATTATCCCAGATGAGCTGCCCATTGGTTTATGGAATAACATGGATATGCCGACTGTAGATTAGCATACTTGCTTTTTTTTTTTTTTTTTTTTTAATCAGAATCACCCAAAGCAAGGCAGTAATGGCACTCAAGGGGTTACAGGGTGTGGAAGAATTCGAAACAGAAACATTACTGATGAGCAGAAATAGAAAAGAGCAATCAGGAGGGCAGTAGATAGCGATTTACATTGCATTTAAATTTTTGCAGATTAAAGTTTGCTGGAAGGCATAGAGTCAAAAGGGAGTTCCACAAGTGAGAAGTGCAAGAAAAGAAACTGTTAACATAGAACTTACGGCTACATCTTGCCAGCTCAATTGTAAATTGATGAGATCTCGATGCCTGTTTTGACCTGCGTTTAAATTTTTAAAAAATCTAGGTACCCTAACGAAAAGCTCATTAGAACAATTACCATAATAGTATTTATAGAAAAGACTTAGAGACGCAAGTTTACGGCGGTGGGAAAGTGACTGGAGCCGAGCCGCCAGATCAGGACCAATAACATTGCAGCTTCTTCTTTGGATCTTATCAGGGTACTCAAGTTAAACAGCAGGGGCCCCAGACCATATGTAGCAGCAATATTCTAAGCATGGGTGAATGGTAGACTTATAGATATGTAAGATAGATTCTGAAGATAAAAATTGTCTCGCTCATCAAAGTGAACCGATATTCCTAGCAGTTGATCTAGCAATGGATTCAATATAGGCTTTCCACTTCATATCAGCAGAGGACACATAGAAGTGGAGAGTTGAAGAAAGTCTTTCTTTTTGAAGTTTTCTTGCTTTTTTTAACCACCTGATTGTATGTCGTTATAGATTGTTTTTACTGTTTTTTCGTTTTGTTTTTTTTGTAACTTTTGATTTCAGTAGAATATATTGTTAACGTACTGTAAAATATGATGACAACGTACTGTAAGCAAAGTTTTCCTTTCTATTTTAGTGCATTTTGTCAGCTATCATCATGGTAGCTCTCCGGAGTATGCTTCTGCAAGTTCTTGAGTTAAAGAGACTATGGAGAATATCAAAATATGATTTTGTAAGTACATCGTTTTCTTCTCCGGCGATATAAAAACAAATAGAGAGAATTATTTTTTCTGTCTGGATTTTCTGGGATGAGAAGTCATCATTATTTACATTATTTACATATAGACTATTGTCCTTATCATTGTTGTTGTTATCACATCATTTCGGCCGTTGTACCCTCCAGCCTTCATCAAGTCTGTTGATCCGGATTTGGTTTGATTTGTCTTGTTTTACGGCATATCAACCGCAATGGATTATTTAATGCCGACAAAATTTTTATTGCTGGTAATATTTTTTTTCCAAAAATCTATTACTGGTAATGTTTTCCTTCAAGAATCTATTGCAGGTGGTATTTTCCAAAAATGTATTGCTGGTAATATTTTTCCTAAAAATGTATTCCTGGTAATATTTTGTTCGTAATAACTTTCCTTTAAAAATGTATTGCTGGTAATAATTTTTCCCTAAAAAAAAAAAGAAAAAAAGATAAAGAACAAAAAAAAAACAACAAAAAACAAAAAAAAAAACCACACTGCCGACAATAATTTTCCCTACAAAAATGTATTGCTTGTAATATTTAAAAAAAAATGTATAATTGGTAATATTTTCGAAAAAGAATGTATTGCCGGCAATGTTGTTTTCCCAAAAGAAAGTATTGCTGGTAATATTTTGTTTGTAATAATTTTCCTTTAAAAAGTATTGCTGATAATAGTTTTTCCTTCAAAAAAACATTGCTGGTAATAATTTTTCCTACAAAATTGTATCTCCGATAATGATTTTTTCTTCAAAACTATATTGCTGGTAATATCTCTTTCTTCAAAAATGTACTGCTGGCAATAACTTTTCCTCTAAAAATATGCGGATGTATTTTATCCTCATAACCAGGACGCGTTGATCTAGGTAACCCACAGGGAATTCTAAACTGAACCAGTTATTTAATCTACAGGGGTAGACAGTTCTCCTTCTACTGCCCATGTTTCAGTATATCTCATCTATTTCTTACTTTTAGTAGTGCTCAGTTATTGCTCACACTGTTATTCACTGAGTTCAAGTATACACTGACCGGACAAGGGATTAAACTCAGAATTCCTATGTCACCAAATTCACAAAGAAACCTTTAATCCGCCAGGCTATTGTCTGCTTTCTGGCAGAGAGGAACCCAGAGGAGGCTATGCCGAAGAACAGTCTCGTCTGGGAGGTAAACAAACCCGACTCCGAGCCTACGAGATCAGATCACCCCACATAAAAGTCGGCCTTGTGCTACATCCTGCCTCGTGGGGTGTTCAGGTAAATACCGGCTATTATATGACATTTCCTGGGTTGGCCAGAGAAAATAAAGACATAAGATCTTGACATCGTATACTACTTCAAACAAAAAGCTAGAAAGGAAACAAATACTGGAAAAGGCAATAGCAGCTACTGGGCTTGAGAAACCTGTTTTCCTGAAAAGTTGTTTTAAGAGAACAATTTTATAAATATTCAACCAACAGTGACACTAACTGCTTGGTCAATGAATGCCAAATGTTTCCCTCTATGGAAATGGCAAATATTCCTATTATGATTGTCATATATGTATATTATTATTATTATTCTTTTTTTAATATCTACGGCAGATATTTTCGTAGTAGTCTCGTATGTACTGTCTTTGTAATGATATATTAATATCTTATTGTTGCAGTCAATCTGGTTGGTCACTTTTTTGTGTGTGGTCATTCTTCATGTTGATTATGGTCTTGGCATTGGAATCGTCTTCTCAGCATTCACAGTTGTGATCCGATCCCAAAGGTAAGCAACAAATATTTGATTTGAAATCTATTTGACATCTATGCGATCATAGGTCACTACGACTTCCTATCCTTTATATTTCTCAGCAATACTTGCAATACCTGTTTTGCTATCCATTTAAACTAGCGTATTAGTTATCTTAATGTTTCCCTCTACCTCTTCTCGCCTTCAATGGATTACGGCCATATTACGTTGAAACATCCGTTCTTCATCAAAGTTAAACAATGTCGAGCTTGTTCAGTACCAAGATGGGTGACCGCTTGAGAATACCAGGTGCTGTAAGTTTGAATGTGCAGGTGGTGTAAAGGATGACGACTTGGAATTGGAAATCAGAGAGCCGAGTTCCAATTCCAGTTGGGTTCGTTATATTCACTTATAGCAGATATCCTTGGGAAAGTTACGAATCTATCTCGTCATCCACAGTCATGGATTAATTAGTAGAACTTGTGTCTGTAAATTATTATTATTCCCCACCAAATTACAATTTAAAATTTTTTCTGGCTTTAAATAACCTGCAAAATATTGATAAACCGTAAAAAAAATAAATCAATCAATATCAATCTTACCTTCAGTATTTCATCTGAGTGTCAAATTCTCCAAGCCTCTTGTCTCATTATGTGTTGCAGAAATTTTAATTGTTGTGAATAGTCGCATCAACGTAAACAAACTTAGTCCGATGAAGTCGTACAGGGCGATAACGCGTCACACGAAAAATTTATCGACTTTGTTATAAATCTTTCCTTCAAAAATGTTCTTGATATATAAAAATTATATATCGTTATAACATCTATCTATCTATCTATCTATCTATCTATCTATCTATCTATCTATCTCCCCCCCCTCTCTCTCTCTCTCTCTCTCTCTCTATATATATATATATATATATATATATATATATATATATAGGATCTTTTCTCTTAATTCACCTCAAATAATGTAAAATTACTTATTGCAAATATTAATTCACCCCAAGAAATTCTAAATCAAAGTTTGTTTTTTTATTCAATTTTTGGCATTTTTTGGAAATTATAAATTTTAAACCAAATTTTTTTACCTTTCCTCGCAACAACTCTAACCCTCGGAATGAAAAAATACCAAAAATCAGGGAGTTATTCACATTTCATAAGTGTTAATGATATTTGAGGTACTTACAAGGAATTTTTACAATTTAAAAAAAATAATAAAAAAATCTGTTTTTGGCTTACTTTTATCGGGTAAGCGCGAACGTAGACCCCAAACTTAATAATACCGCATCTGCATCGAGCATATTTGGGGCACTTGGAAAGGTCAATCGAACCGGAGTGCAATGAAAGGGCCTCGGCTTGAGAGAATTTGATGTGAATTTTAGTAAATATAAATTCTTTTTATTTTCGTGTGAATTAATAGAAAAGAACACACACACACACACACACACACACACACACACACACACATATATATATATATATATATATATATATATATATATATATATATATATATATATATATATAAATTTCTGGTTGGTGAATGCGGCCTCTCAGAAATAGTCATTTATGCCTCTCTGGCAATGTCACTGTTTCCACATTTTGAGGACAAGCAACATGAATGGCTTGTCAATGCGAACGTTCAGTGGTTGAGAACCTGGTCATCCTGCCCGGAATGATGACAAAATTGGTTTTCAGCAATTTCATATGCTATTTCGCATTACTCTGTCGACACCATCTGACTGATAATAAGCAATGACAAAGAATACTTGAGCATCTTACCCTGCCAGTGACTGATAACTGGCAGAAATATATTTTTTTTACAGAAACACATCTTTGTGTTTGCTTTAAACACAATATAAAATTTGTCTTTCAAAATATAAAGTAAACGACATAAATGCTTAATTTTAACCCATACGAACCAGAGAAGAAAATTGAAGAAATGTTAAATTTAGCTTCGGAAAATTCTAAAATATTAATGTTCTCTTTTCCAGAAGTTTATAACCGAATGTTAGAGATGTCTATTATGCATGAATAATTATTGTACTTAACTAGTTGAATGCTGATAAAATGTTTGGTTTCTCAAAATACAGCCCTAACTAGCAAAGTCTGTTTATAATTAAACGTGATAGTAAAAACAATTATTTTGTCTTGTGGGATTTTGTATTGTCGGGGTGGAATCGCATAATAGAGCCAAGCAGGTCCTTGCATGATTTTCAGTTCAATTAAGGAACTGTATTATTCTTATTTGTACTTAAGAGGCAGATTAAAACATATTTTCACGTTTATAATTAAAAAAAAATAAGGACATAAAATCTAGAAACCTTGGTTAGTTATGAAGATCCAAATTTCCAGCAAAAAACCTCATTTTTGCTTTAACACTATTAAAATTCTTTTAGAGAGGGACTTTTAGCAATAAAGTGGATATAATGCCAAAAAACATAATAGAGGTTTAGATCATTATTTTCTGATAAATAAAAGGAAAGTTATGAAGAAAACCGATATTTAAGGGCTGGTATATGATGCCTTAAAACGGGTAATCATCTGATTAATGCACGATGTTTTAAATATCTTCTTAATTTTCTTCGATTTTTCAGGTTTAAATTGTTTTTATATTTGTGAACTGGTACTAAAACGGAGAAAAAATTGCAGCAGGAATTTTTTTTAGCGTTATTTGAAGTTGGGTTAGAAACTGAAATGTTGACTGAATTTCATGTTTTAGGACCCTAAAATCCACTTGATACAGATCATTTTTAAAATTGAGTGTCAAATTTAACACTGATAACATTCATTTCAACAAAATTTCATTGACCTTCTTAGCAAAAAGAGGCAGAAAACTAATTAACCAGAACTGATCATTGAAAAAATATATAATGAGACATGAGTGAGTTTTGGTTAATTTTAAATGATCATAATTTGGTAAATATTTGAAGTTCGGACAAAATCAGACCAGTTCTGAAATCCTGAAACAGTTTACTTTCAGAATAGATATAGCAGATATCACTTAGGAAAAGTTCCATAAAAACAAATGTCTAATTGCGATCCAACTGTTTGATAGCTGCGTTTCTGTCTCTCAGTAGATTCAATGTTCTTCCTGATTCGCGTAATTACTGCAGATAATGGCTGTGTGCATGTCACAAAGGATGCAATTTCTAGATCACATTTTCGAAATGAGAACACTTGTCAATGCATAAAAATTTCCCAGTTTTTTTTTTTGTTTTTTTTTTTAAAGAAAAAAAACCCTCTCATTTAAATGTTAGGTTTCCCGTTCAACTGGTTAGGTAGATCATTTCCAAATAAAATATTCTGATAAGTCAATTAGTATTGGACCAAAGGTCATAAGTTAAAAATCTGAAAACAGATTGGTTAGTGTTTGTCAAATCGCTGACTTTAAAATTTACTGTTGCAGTTTTTGATATTGTAATTCCGTTTATGATTAAAAAAGAGAATTGCTAAATATATATAAAATATTTTTAAATTTAAAATTCCCAGCCACTCTCGTTTGAGCACGTGAATAGTCGCGTCAACGTAAACAAACTTAGTCCGATGAAACCCTACAGGACGAAAACTATATATATATATATATATATATATATATATATATATATATATATATATATATACACACAGAGGCACGGTGGAGTAATGGATGGCGGCTTGGATTGAAGAATCCATTACATTCACTTGCGTACTAATACCCTTGGGAAAGGTATGAATCTTCTCCTTCGAGCAATGGGTAAATAGCAGGATAGACTGAGTTCTGTAGCTTATACTTAACATCAGGAACAGACAGTTGTGGTTTCTAGGTCAAGTAATGATGAAAGAGGGCTTGGAAAATCTGATCCTCACAAGGCAGATTGAAGGAAAGCGGAACAGAGGAAATCAGCGCCTAACATACTTGATGAGCTTAAATGGATGGTGGATAAAGTTTAGGAGAAATAACAAAAAGATTACATTTATTAAGAGCTATGAAAGACATGAAGATATGGATAATAGGCTACGTTCTGAGGTGGCATGACACATAAAGAAGAAGAAGAAAACATTTCAACGTGTCTTTCTATATGACTTATGTGTGGAAATGAAGGAAAACTAGATGCATTTTTTTTGCCATTTGATGCGCTTTTATTTCCGGAAAAAGAAAACTGCTATACAAACAACAAAAAAGATGTGTGCCATTTATGGAGAAAGTGCCGTAGCTGAGAGTCCTGTTTCAGATTAAGAAATGGAAATTTTAATCTAGAAGTTCGAAAACATTCTGACAGTCCTGAAGTCATTGATGAGCAAACCGGAACGTTGATTAAAAAAATAAACGCACTAGCATGACACAGATTATCACAGAGATAATCTATATATCTCATATGTGCGTTGTAAGACATTTGAACAAGTCTTTTCAAATGTCTCACAGCGCTCATATAAGATATATGGATTATCTCTGTGATATCTTGTCTCATGTGAGTGGAATTATTTTTTAATTGGTATTACGTGAACGGCTACGATGTTTTGGTATTTCACAATTTAAACGGAAAAAAGTTAATCGCCACATTTCCGTCTGCGATTCTCAACTCCAAAACTACGCAATTTTGAAAAGAATCAAACATAAGTGATGAAAAATGGATTGTTTATAACAATGTGCAGTGAAAACAATATACTCTAGAATTAATCATTTTATTCATTCTCTTGTTTGTCAATTTCTTTCAACACTTGTGGTTTCTATTTTTCAACACATGATATTTTCTCAACCCCAAAACAGCAGCACACAACGTCTTCATCAGCCAAATATTTAAATAGATTTCATTTTTATGTTCAGTTGTAAAAATGCATACCATCACAAAACTGTTCAATTTAAAATAACGTTTTTTATTTGAAAAGTTTGCGGAGTTCATTTGTGATTCTAATGCCGGAAAGTTTATCGGAATTAAAAATATTAAAATTAAATATCCTTAAATAAAATGTATAATTTTCATTTTTTTTTCTTCCACAGGACAAACATGAAATTATTTGGAAGAATCGAAGACAGCAATATTTACAGAAATGAAAATGCATACGCCAAGGTAAAACTGAATTCTTGAAGTTTTGTTTGGTTTTTGGATATAATATTTTATAAAGAGTGAATCATGACTGATTTTGATGATCTTCTTATATTTCTTTTTGCTAATCATTTCACCTCAAGCAAGGCAATAAAGCCACTAAGATGCAAAGAGGTACGGAGTGTAAAATTATGAGACATAGTTGCCAATCTAGTACTAATTTGAGGTACGAAAGAGGTAAGTTCATCAGAACAATTACGACAACAATATTTATGGAAAAAGCACAAGCTATGTTACTGTGGTGGGAAAATGAATACAGCCTGATAACATCGCAAATCCTGTCCCAACTGGGATGATTTATAGAAAATTTAATAGTTGTTGTTTCACCAACGAATGAAAAACAATGGAATATTTGGAAATTCAATATTTTACGGAGATTGAACTGTGTTTGTCTCTGTTTCTTTATATCTGTCTCTGTTTCTCTGTATCTCTCTCTCTATTATATATATATATATATATATATATATATATATATATATATATATATATATATATATATATATATATAATAGAATAAGATATGTATAATAGAATAAGATATATTCGATATAATAGAATAAGATAATTCACTCATGAGAAATCCAAGATTAATTCCTTTTGTTTGTGAATTAAAGTTACTTATGCAAAGACTGAATTTTCCCCTTTTTTATGTTGAAAAAAGATTATTTTCTAGAATAACTTAACATTTTTTAAGATATAAATTTGATTTTGTTCACTTTTACTTAACAAATATATACATATATCTGTCGTGTTAATTTGAAAGACAGTTTTTGAAGCCAAAATTACTGGTTTGTCAGTGGATTAGCTGATTGGGAAGTATTTATATTTCTGATATGAGGTATTGTAACTATTTACATCATTCGGACTCTTTTAATCAACGCTATTGTTAAATCAATGGCGTTTAGGCCTTTGTACGCATTAACCTTCTTTATACGTTGGAATTTCGAAGTATGGGGTTAGATGGTTCTATTTCTACATGATACTGAGACATCCCCAAATAAAGGAATGGCACGTGGAATAAGAACAATCTATTCCTGAGGACGAAATAAGCGGTTCAAGATTCCAACGTATATCAGCTGATGAATGCCTGAGCGTACAACGGCCGAAATGTCTTAAATATATATTAGACAACATACTAGCAGCATGGCCCGGCGTTGCCCGTTCTTGATTCAAAAATCGTACGACTCACACAGCAATCGCTATCACTTGACTTAAAATATTTTTCCCTTCTTTGCCTTTAAAGGAGTGCCCTTTGCCATTCTGATGTTGCTACATGCCTTACTTCTTGCTTATTTCACATTGCAAATTTTTTCTAAGCTCTATACTAAACATTAAATCTGTCACAAAAAAAGAACTAAACAGAATGTACGCAAAACGATCAGCTTTAAAAATGGACTCGTAACTGGAAAAACCGAATGAAAAAAGAATGTTAGCAACAAATACTTTTTCACACCCAACCCAGTTCCGCGGAATCAGAATTAACATTGAGTTAAGCAAGCGAATGAGCCAATTGGAGTACAGTGCCATGCAGATTTAAATTTTTCCCACTTGTGACGAATGCAGCTATCGATTTTTTTTGGCATGCTAGCATGCTAGTTAACATTCGTGTCAGTCAGCTGTTGGCTCTCACGCTGGCCAACAGAATCTTCCTGCCTATTCGTGGCAGCCAGCTATAGGCTCTCACTCTGGCCAGTAGAAAATGGCCGCAAACTACATGAAAACTGCCGTAGAAGCATGAAAAATCGATTATTTCCACTATCGATGGGAGTTGGGAAATGCAATGTCGGTCTTGGTCTTCCCGCTAGCTTAGAGCATGTAAATTTTGATGCAAATCCGTCGAAAATTGCGGCCATGCATTCGTTACATACACATCCGGCCTTTTATAGATAGAGATATGTATATGTATTAAACAAGTTATATATATATATATATATATAAAACAAGTTATATATATGTATTAAACAGGTTATATATATAAATGTATTAAGTAAGAGATGTATATATATATTTATTTATTAAGCACGTTATATATATTTATGTATATATATAAATGTATTAAGAAAGTATTATATATATGTATATATATATAAAAGTATTAAGCAAGTTTTATATATATATATATATATAAACGTATTAAACAAGTCGTATATATAAATATATTTATGTTATATATGTATTAGGCAAGTTTATATATATATAAATATATATATATATATATATATATATAAATGTATTGGGCAAGTTATATATATATATATATATATATATATATATATATATATATATATAAAAGCAAATTATATATAAATGTGTGTGTATGTATTAAAAATTATAAAAATATATGTATTAAGTAAGTTATATATATGTCTAAAACAAGTTATAAATATTGAAAAATAAATTAAGCAAGTCATATATTCATATATATTAATGCATATATATATATATGTATTAAACAAGTTATATGTATATAAATGTATTAAGCTAGTTATTTATGCATCCATTTATTAAGCAAGTTATATATATATATGTGTGACTATATATATATATATATATATATATATATATATATATATATATATATAAACATATTTCCAATCAGTTAATTTATAATATATGTATATATCAATATGTGTGTATATGTATTAAACAAATTTATATATATGTATGTGTATTCATCAATATATATATATATATATATATATATATATATATATATATATATATATATATATATATATATGTGTGTGTTATATATATATATATATATATGTAGGCAAGTTATATATATATATATATATATATATATATATTAGGCAAGTTATATATATACATATATATATATATATATATATATATATATTAGGCAAGTTATATATATACATATATATATGTATTAGGCAAGTATATATATATAGGCAAGTTATATATATATATATATATATATATATATATATATGTAGGCAAGTTATAAATATATATATGTATATATATAAGCAAATTATATATAATGTGTTTATGCAATAAAGAAATTATATATATATGTTTTTACACACATATATGCATAAATATAAAACAAGTTATAAGTGTTGATATATAAATTAAGCAAGTCATGTATATATATATATATATATATATATATTAAACAAGTTATATCTGTGTATTATACAAGTTATATATTTAAATGTATTAAGGGAAGTTATGTTTATATATATTTATGTGTATGTATTTATGTATGTATATATATATATATATAAATGTATTAAGTAAGTTATATATATATATATATATATATGTATATACATATATATTTATATATATAAATGTATTAAGCAAGTTATATATATATATTTTATATACATATATATAGATATATTTAAATGTATTAAACAAGTTACATATATTTATACTTATATATATATATATAAATGTATAAGCAAAGTTTTATATATATATATATATATATATATATATATATATGTGTGTGTGTGTGAAAAATATATAGAAAATAGGAAAGAACTCGTTTGGTAAATAATACAAAGTTCTTTAGTATTTTTGTTATTATTTAAAAAAAAAAATAGTGCTCGTTGCAAAAGTAATGCATAAATATAATTATTTATTTAAAAATATGATTTCAACACGCTACATAAGAGTACTCATGTTTCAAAACAAGAGCCGAAAACTTCAATATAATTATTTGAATTAAATTGAATTAAAGTAAGCTCGGTTCCATCTTCAAGCGAAATTTTTTTTTGAGTAACTTATTTCTGAAATTTACGTGTTTTAATAGCATATTTATTATTGAAATCAGAATTTCTATGGTAACGGCTAGAGCGATATATGTATATATATATATATATATATATATATATATATATATATATATATATATATATATATATATATATATATATATATATATATATATAACGTATATATATATATATGTATATGTAAGCAAATATATGGATATAAATCCGACAGTATGAAGAAAATATATACGGAAAAAACAAACAAAAATCCTTATATACAATTATGTTGTTTTAATGTTAATATGTTTTTTCCGTATATATTTTTCTTCATATATGTATATTTAGTTATGTATTTCCTTATTTCTTTTTTTTTTTTTGCAGTCTGTCCAGCAAGCTGATGTTAAAATTGTTTACTACAATTCGCCCGTTTATTTTGCAAATGCTGAAATATTTGTACGGCAAGTACACAAGACATCTGGAGTAAGACCTGAGAAAGTTCTCAAGAAGATGAAAACAATAGAGAAAGAACGTTCGGTAAGTAAGAATTAAAAAAAAAAAGGAAGAGTTATTCAAATGTTAAAGTGTGCAACAAGCTTCAACTTGCTTTGTTTCTCAATTACTAACCTGTTGACAAATAAGTCAAGTTTCTTTTTTCAGTAGAGAACAGTGAATTGGTTTCATGATCGATTCATATTTTTATTACATTCTTCAAAGTTTCATTAACACTTCAATAGTTTTTGATTTCCCTTTTTATTTGGTTCATGACCCTAACCGTAATTATTGGCCTGTTCTTGCTTGTTAGCGAAATTCTGTAAATTCCATCATTAAAAATTGAACGGTCAAACATAACCTGTGAAAATTCCATGGTGTATTTTTGCAGTTGAAGAATAGAACAAATAAAGAGCTTTTATATTAAAATACTGCAGAAAGAAAAGTACCCTCAAGACAGATTGACGACATGAGGAACACAGGAAAAGAAAGCATAGCCTCCCTAGTGAGCTTGAGTAAATGGGTGCCTGATCAAGTTTTAGGGGAGATAGCAAAAAGACAAAATATATTAAGAACTACAAAGGTCAGGAAATTGTGGAGAGCCATGCTCGCCAATATCTTGAAGGGACACGGCACATAGAAAAAGAATGCAAGGAAAATTAAAGTACATTGTTTAAAGTTGTAAATGCTTGCTCCTTTTTTTTTTAATGATTTTTATATATGTGAGAAAATATTTAAAATGTAGATTCATTTATTCAAATCTTGCTTTCTTTCAAATAAAAAAAGATTTTCTTGCCTACAGTATATTTTAATTCTCATTGATCCATACTTAGCAAGCGTATTATGCCCAGTCATTGCCTCAGATAGACAATGGACCATTTCTGTTTGATTGCAATGATAGACAGAAGAAAACATATATCAAAGGTACCGTTTTCAAGAAAGAAAGAAAGAAAGAAAGAAAGAAAGGACTGCGTGAAAAGAAATGAAGAAATAAAGAAAGAAAGAAAGAAAGAAAGAAGAGGTGTTAACATTTATATGTTTAGCGTCTGTGTCAGTGAAATGTAAAACCTTATCAATTTTGAATCTTTTCATTTTTGCCTTCTTACTTCATTAAACTACATATGACAGCAAAGGCCTCTTATCAGGAGCTTTGATATTTTGAGGAGTGTGAAACCGCGTCTTAATTGCTGTGGTTTCGAGGTTTACCCTGATCAGGAGTGATAGCACCTGATAGGATTCCAGTTGTGGGCAAATAGAGAAGCCATAAGATTGTGCTGAAAATAATTAGATTTCGGCATTAAATAACCCATAAAGTTTGATATGTCGCTTAACAAAATCAACCAACAAACCAACTATTTTAAATAATAAACTGCATTCATATTTATTATTATTGTTATAATACTTTGCTTAAGTTGTTAAGCTCAATACTTACTGGGGAAACAATGGGATTTCAACGGATATTTTATAGTCGTGGAACTTGCAGGTTCTAGGAGAGTTGCATACTGGACATTTGCTACCTGAACAATTGCGTACGAAACAATTGAGTCTCTGGACATTTGCATCCCTAGACAAATACATCCCTCGATAATTGCGTACCTCAGATAACTTTTTGAGGATTTAAGGGCAATTGCCATAAATTTTGCAAAGAAGCATAAGTGGTAATCATAACTTTTAAAAAAAGAAATAGAATGAATAAAAAAAAAATAAATGTTTATTTTTGTTTAAAATGCAGTGACAGATTAACAGTATTGCAAGATCACTCTACACATCGCCAATATGTTTTTGTTTCATCGGCGTTTTTCTTATGATATTGATAGCTGTAATTTTCCTCGTCTCCAAATATTTTTCCACAAGCGTTTGATTTTCAGAACTTAGCCATGGGTTCCAAATAAAAATATAATCTATAAAATCCAGAATCTATTAGATGTTTGTGAAGTGAACTGAAACTGCTAGCTTAATTTTCTCTTGCTTTAAAAAAGAAAAAAATCTCTTTTTTTTTATTTATGGTAACTACATTTCTGCTTTTTTAGAGTAAAGGTATTGGTGTGTGAAACAACACTTTAAAAAAAAATGGTAACTTTAGAAAGTTACCAGAGGTCCGCAATTATCCAGGGAAGCATTCGTCCAGGAAGGTAAATATCCAGGGACGCATTTGTCTGGTACGCTGTTGTCCGGGACGCAAATGTATGCATATGTATAACTGGCCACCTACCCATCTACTAGGGCGGCTAGCCAATCCCTATTGCAGACGCTCTCTCAGGCGCATTTGTGTGTTTTCGACACCCACAAAGTTCACCTGTGGTTTATACTGCAACTATATTGAGTAGACCTTAGTTATAGTTTCTGGGAAAGAGCGTGTGATCAACAATTTGAACAAAGCCAGCGCGCTCAAGCCCTCAGCCACGATGACTTGTGACTTTGTGCTAGCACAGCTATCGACAGAACCCAATGGTTCCGTCTACCCAATTTCACTCCCAAGGCTTGGGTCAACAAGTGGTATGGTTTTCCGACACTTTCCAAATGTGCCACACGCGAGGAACGAACCCGCTAGTCTGATAAATCTTTCTAACAAGTCCCTGGTGAGATTCGAATCGGGGTCTCATGGTCAGAATGTAACTTTCAAGAAGCTTATTCAACCATTAATTTAAGAAATAAGTTTCATTAGAAAATTCAAATAGGAAAACCATGAAATTTACATAAGTATTTCTAGTTTTAACTATTATCCTTTCAAAAATCGTGTAGTGTGTGATTTATACCTTTTCTATATTATTATAGCCCCGCATCGATTTTGTCCAGTTAACTGATATTTCTGCCACATTTAAGGGTTTTTTTTGAGTGGGGGGGTATTACTAACTTGATTTTGTTTAGTTTCTTGTAAATAGTTTATATTCATATTGTATATACTCACTGGGGATTTTTTAGCTTGTTGTTTTATTCCCCTCCCCCCACAGACAATGATTTATACATATGGGGACTAGTTAGAATTTTCATTGAGGCAATGAGGTATTTTGGCGGTTGTATTAAGAAAGGTAAGTAAGAATGTGTTGTTTTGGTGCTAGGAATATTGTTTGGGTCAGTGGTTGTGGCTAGCTAAGTTTCAAAATTAAAACAGACGATGACCGTCCTTTTTCTCACCCCCTTTTTTAAGGCCTTGTGCCACATGTTCTGCGATTTTTTACAGAAATAAATAAAGTGTGATTTATACCTTGTGTCACAATTATTGTATTTTACGATTATAAATCTTGTGTGTGATCCATGCCAGCAAATAGAAGAGGTTTTAACATCAATTTAAACCCTTTTAGAATCACACTGGCAGTTTTGTTTTTATAAAAAGAACAAAATTTTTATAATTATTTATTATTATTTTTAACGTTCTTCTTCTTCTTCTTCTTCTTCTTCTTCTTCTTATTATTATTATTATTATTATTATTATTATTATTATTAGAATAATGCAGAGAAAATTTAATTACGCTATTTAATGTTTCGATTCCACTGTTGCTACCATGTTCATGATCCTGAGGAAAACAGCAACGCCAAAACAGATGACAGAATTGATAAACACATGTACAGTGCTGATAATTAGAGTAGCAAAGAATGAATTCAAAGAAAACCCAAGACTAGTAACATATAATTTAAATAAGATAATCTTGCCTGCTATTGTTTCGGATCTGTTTTCAATAAGCAACTATATCCAACCTAATTTCAATTAACGGTTCATAATAATAAGTAATAACAATTATGGTCACCCGATTGTTCAGTAAAGTTTACTTGTCTAAATATCGTGACGAGAATGAATTACTGCTATAGGCTTATTACATTTAATCAATTGTTTTATTCAAATCGTTATCCCTTTCCAGGAACAGTAGTCAACATTCAAATATTGGCTTCTTTGCTTATGGCTTTTATATACATGATGAAATATTTAAAAAAAAATAATAATCTTATAATCCTAATTTTTTTTACAACTTAAAAAACATTTCTTTGTGTTGTCTGCTTGTCAAAATTATTTTAATGTCTCGTGAAAAATTCAGATGATTTAAAACTGTAAATAAGTCAAAGTCGTTGGTGGCTAAATACTGATTACATAAGTATACTTTGATCTTTTTATAATTTGGTTGATTGGTTGTTTTGTTTTATGGCATATCAACCTCAGTGGGTCATTTAATGCCAACAAAATTTTTCAAGTAGATTCATAGCGATAGTTCAGTAAAAAAGGTGTGTATGTATACATATATATTTGAACCGTTTTTCAATTACTCATATTTTTGAGTACAATCCAACTTATTTTAGGAAATTTACAATCTTAGATGATTTTATTTTCTTAAAAAGTTTTTCTTTTTAAATTACTCACTTGGTAATATTTTTTTCGCAATAGATCAAAATCTACACACTAACAATATATGTTTCACTGTAAATTTCTCTTGGCATGTAGTGCATATTGGGGATTCTGTGCCCTCTAGTATTAAGTATTGCTGATAATAATTTTTCCTTCAAAAATTATTGTTGGTAATATTTTTTTTTATTACAGAGTATTTCTGGTATTAAAACCTACTTTTAGATAAGTTTGGGTGTTAAATATTTGCCCATAGCTGGGACCCTAACAGGTTGCTACCACTCCGGGTTAGGGTGGACTTGGGAACACCAGCAATTAATAGGTGGTTCCACGTTCCCAAAACCTCCTGATCAGAGGCCTTGCTGTTGGACGTAGTTTATCGTCTTACCCAGGACGCGGATGTAGTTAATCATCATACCCAGGACGCCATTTTATTAGTTGTTACAAAGTTATGTAGGATAGGATTTATACCAGAAAGTGCCACATGGTATGGATCAAATTTAACGTCCATCGTCTTTTTTGAATCACACTGACAGTTTTCTTCTTTTGTGTAAAGAAAAACACGTTTTCTTCTTTGATTATTATGTTTTATTATGTTTTATTATTATTATCTTTTTTTTTTAATCCTAGACACCTTGAAGTGCATCAATATATTAATCTCTTTCAAAGTTTGAAGCCTTAAAATAAACATTTTTAAAAATAAAGAATGAAGTTTTGCTTGTGGGAATTGCTCACTTAAATAAAGCAAATAAATCAGACAACTATATGTGATACTCGCTTCAATGATTATGTCTCTTTCGATTCATGACTAACTAGGCAGAAAATTTTCTTGCAAGGCTACTGTTTCTTTCTGTGGAAGACTGGTTACTAAAATTGGATATAAGATCCAGTCTGCCCTACTATTTAACACATAGCCGGGAGGAGGAGATGGATTCACATTTTTTCCAAGAGTGATTGCACGTAGGTGAAGATAACAAACCAGACTGGAAATCGAACTCGGCTTTCTGATTTCTCATTGCGAGCTGATATTCATTACACCTCACGCACATCCACTATCGTCAATAGAAAAATAACATGTTCGTATTTCATCAATTTGATGTTAAAATCGTGTTTTTTTGTTCGCTAAATGAGAGAAAACAAGATAAACATAAAAATTCACAATAAAAATGTAAAATTTAAAAAATCAGAGCCTAACTTCGTAAAAGTTTTTTTCTATCAAAATATTGTTTCTCTCATTTAGTTTCTCTTTTCAAAAATCGAAAAACATGTAAAAAAAACAAGCCCAAAAAACTGTGACATATTAATTTTGGCGTAGAGACATGCACGTTTCTACCGGAAGCGTCTTTTTCAGACACGGGCGGATATACACGTCCATAACATAACGTTAAAAAACCATCTACAGAACTGTTTATACGTCGATCTTGATTCATTTTATGCCCTTCTGAGAGGCAAACAGAATAATTCTATTCATTTATATTTGTAAATAAAGGTAATTTCTGCTATTTTTAGCAAAAAAATAATTCTCAATAATTTAATTCATAAAATGCCAGATAAAAGTAATTTTATTCATTTATATTTGTAAATTATTCTAGTTTCTCTTATATTTTGCTAATAAATTTAACAAAAAATAAAAGCCAATTAGGTTTTCCATTACTGGAAATAAAATTGTATAAGATAAATAAAAAAATAGGGTTTATGGGGCGACGTGTTTACACGTCTTTGCCGAAAAATATTTTCAAAATATAATTTCAACCATAAAAATGAATAAAAATTGAAATGCAAGTTAGTTTTCATAATCAACATAAAAATACGATATTAAAAACAAATAAAAAAAAATCATCAGATAAAGAAACTTTTTTCCCAAAATGATTGGCGGGTATGGGGTTAAAATCAAACCAATAATTTTTGTTTTTGTTTAAATAAAGACACATTAAGTTTTGTTCATTAATTATTATTTTTAACAATATTATAATTTAATATGCAGAAAGCTGAATTCACCAAAGATGTTGAAGTCGATGGCCAGGTTTCAGTTCCAAATGCTGACCCAAATGAAGTTAAATTTGAACTTTCAGTCAACTGTATAATCATTGATTGTAGTGCCATGAATTTCATTGACACCGTTGGAGTGAAGGTATTTGAACAGGTAGGTAGATTGATATAAATAATCTGAATATTTAGAACTTTATGTCAACACAATTTATTATATGTGACATTTTCAATAATCTACAAAACCAGTGTCCTCATCTTTGTTATTATTATCAGAACGTTTCAGCCATTGTCCATTCCAATCTTTTACAGGTGTCAGTTAGTCCAGGTAAACTTCAGGCAATTTTGAACTGAACCCTTTATTTTAATCTACACTGATAGACTGTTCGTATTCCATTGTCCATGTCTAGGGATATCTCATCTTGTTCCTGTTTAGTGCTACTCATCTATTGCTTCCCTGGTTTCCATTGATTATAAATCTGCATTAACCTGTCCAGGAATTTAATTCCTTTCTCATGATTATGCAGGACAATAGCCTAGGGTGGGTCCTGGAATATTGTTGTAGAGTGGTTTCACAGTGGAGGCTTGTATTTGTACTAAGTCGGTCCTAAAATAGGTTCGACGAATAAAACGTTAGGAACTTGATATAATAGGTAATGACGCAGAGAAATCTAGTGGTGGTCGCTGATACTTTTAGTATCCGACTAACGGTCGTCCGACATCGACTGACTGACCAACGATATTCAGTCACCCCCCCTCCCACGAGGGCGTCATGTGGCACAAGGCCTTTTTAACGTGGATCTCCGAACCCGTGGGCTCGGCAAAAAATATGCCCATTGAACCCGTATAAACGGGTTCAGGTTCAGTTTACCTACCTGAAAGAGAACCCGCCCTTCGGCGTAGCCTCTTTCGGGTTACTCCCCGCCCGAAGGCAGAGAGTTCAACCGATCAGCCAGTCGACTGACTGACCAACTCCCGAGCGACTCCTACTACTCCTACTTATTATAGGTGGGAGAGTCTATTAACTATAGAATAGGTGTGTTCCACTATAACAAATATGATGATGTAGAAAGATCAAATATGTTATCTCAGGTTGTCCCAGAAATCAAATCGGGATTTAAAAGTCTAGCAATTTCAACATGTTTTTATGCAGAAAGAAACCGCAGTCGCTGGAAATATATTTCCATTTAATCATAAAAAATGATACGAAGTCAATATCTTCCATTTTATATATCACACAGACGCGTTCTTTCTATAGCTTTCTCCATAAATGTTTAATAACTCAGGCTACAACCCTCAATTTTCTGTACAGATGTTATCCTTGAGTTGCTGATTTGTCTGTGGTTTATTGATGCATACATCCTCCTTAAGTTACTGCTCCCAATAAAATAATGACATATCCAATCAGAAGGAAGTAGAGGCCTTAAAAGTTTGTAATTTCACGAAATCTTGATTACAAAAGTTTGATTAAATCCAAAATAAAATTCCAAGATTTTATGTTCATTATTAAATCTATGCAAAGAAAATATTCACCATCATTTAGACAAAATTAGTTCCTGAGTAAAATGAACTGTTTAATTAATCTGTTTCTTTATTTCTATATTTTTTGGATTGCAGTCTTATTTTTTCAAGTCTTTCATGTGAGGCACTCAGATACCTTTGTCTATTACGTGATCATCTTGCTTCAACTTGTAATAGGTTTTGTCATCAATGTTTTTGTCCTCATGTTGCTAATCTTTTGAGCAAAATCTAATTTATAAAATATCAGGAGATAATTATAATATATATATATATATATATATATATATATATGTTTTGGTTAATCTACGGTTTCTGGCATCCACTGAGTGACTTGAAACATAAATTCCCTTCATAAAAATCGTGTAATTTTAACTTGTTAAGGGGGTCCACTCCTTTTTATACAAGTGGACTCACCCAGTGTGTACATGTACTGCTGCCGGTGAATACCCGAGAGTGAGGGAGTGAGAGTGTGAGGTAACCGCTTTGTAGGAGTCACAGTTGCGTGCACGTAGACTCAGAAGGAAGTCATACTTCGATACTGAATTTCCCAGACTATATATATATATATATTATTATTGCTACTAACCGCATTTCTGGATCTACTAACCGTATAACCAATTGTATTATTACGTCAATACTTTTATTTGCTATATTTCATTCCTGCGTTTGTCATTCATTTGAAACCGGATTTCATCCCGGAATCCACAACATAAAGATACTAGTAATGTTGATGTATTAAATAGAATGAAATGTTATTGTTTATAGGATTATTATATTTTCCGATGTTATTATGTATCATGGATATTAATTAAAAGTACTTTTTTTTATTGTAGCTATCAACAGACTATAGCAAAATTGGTGTGAAATTGCTTTATGCTGGTATCCGTGGTAAGTTATTTATTCATTTTATTGTAGTTGGTCAAATTTCATCAGTCCATTCCCACCTGTAAAAATATGCCTGTAACATTTGGTGTTTTTCTCCCAGTGTCTCAATTTTGGTTTTTCCTCTCCTCATATCTCCATTTTGTTGTTTCTTGCCTAATGTTTCCACTTTTATTTATTTATTTAATATGTCTCACTTGATACCCCAATTTTGCTGTTTCCCTCTACATATCTCCATTTTCATGTTTCTTTCCCAGTACCTCCATTTTGCTGTGTATTTCCCAATGTCTTTATTTTGTTATTTTTCTTCCAATGTTTCATTTTTTTTATTTAGTTACTGATTCTTATTTGATGTCACCATGTTGGTGTTTATCTCCTGATGTTTCCATTTTGTTTCTCTCTTTATATCTCCATTTTGCTGTTTTTCTCCCAATGTCTCAATTTTGCTATTACTGTTTCTCACTTGATGTTCTCCCCTCATGCTGTTTTCTCGGAATAACTCCAATTTTATGTCTCTCTCTCTCTCTCTCTCTCTCGATATTCATTTTGCTGTTTTTCTCCCAATGCCTCAATTTTGCTGTTTCCCCGCCAATGTTTCCATTATTTTATTTATATTCTTATGATTTTGCTGTTCCTACCCAGATTTTGGCATTTTGGTGTTTATCTCCTAACGTCTCCATTTTATTGTTTATCACACGATGTTGCAATTTTGCTGTTTCTCTACGAATGTTTCCATTTTTTAAAAATTTATGCTCTATCTCCATTTTGCTATTTTGCTGTCTCCATCTGTTTTACATATATATATATATATATATATATAGTCATCATTTTTTAGATTCTCTCTAGATGTTATCATTTTGCTGTTTCTCTCCAAATATTTCCATTATTTTATTTAGATACAGATGTACCCATTTTTCTGTTTCTTCTCAGATGTCTCCATTTTGCTGTTTCTCTTCCAATGTCTCCATTTTGCTGTTTCTCTTCCAATGTCTCCATTTTGCTGTTTCTCTCCTGATGTCTCCATTTTTCTATTTCATTTTTAATGTCTCCCTTTTGCTGTGTCCCACTTGATATCTCAGTTTTGTTGCGTTTTCATTTTTAATTTATATCCTAGTGTCTCCAATGTTCTCATTCTTTCATTTATATCCTGATGTACCGATTTTGTTGTTTCTTCTCCATTTTGCTGATTCTTTCCTGATGTCCCCATTTTGCTGTTTTTCTCCGTTTTGTCTTTCTGCTGTTTTTATTTTGTTTTTCTGCTGTTGCCCTGTATGTGATACTCAACGTCCCCCAAGAGACATTAGTGTCCACTTTGAGCAGCCCTGCTCCAGATAGTTGAAAGAGGCATTGTGCTGTTTTTATATCAGTTTTAATAGTATAGAACATAAATTGATTAACTGATTGCTCATTTTATTTCGTGCTTATCTTTGACAGATCCGGTTTATGCAGTGTTGGAATCTGCTGGTTTCATAGAAAAATTTGGCAACAATCTCTATCTGAGCATTCAGGATGCAGTTCATGCAATTAGCTTCCCTGTTTATGCCAGTGAGGTAAGTGACTACGAATCTCTCTCGCGGGAAATGCAAGATATCCATGTTTTATTAGTGAGAAACAACTAAAATCATTATATTTTATTTCAGATTATAGATGACTTACGGAGGAATAAATCTGAGTTTGAATTTTGTCTGATGAAAAAAAGAAAAAAGAAAAAAAAAAGAATTGTAATCCTTATGAAATTACACATTTTAAACCATCGAATTCATAGTACTGGTTAACCAGTATAATACTCTTAGATCTAATCCCTGAAAAAAAATGACATAGTCATCCATATGAGTAGAATAATGCTGTTCATATGAGCAACACCGTACTAGCCATTTGCTGCTCTTCATTGAAAATTATATTCTGTTACAAAGGCATTTTTGAGTTAGTAACAATTACCCAAATGTGCAGGGATAGTGTATCAACAAGTATTGAGTCTGATTATTCTCTGGAGGTTTTAGGGTCAGGCTTATGTCAAATGGTCAGGACTCGGGGTTCAACGGGTCATATAAGAAACTTTTGTTCTTAAAATGAATGATTAATGTAAAATAATACCTGGATAATTTCTTTTTACCTTAAGAAAGATTGATGTTAAAAATTTCTATGTAAATTTTATCGATTTGGACAGATGATTTTTAGCTGTTTTCTGAAGCACTTTCATTATTTCATATAATAATAATAATTATTATTATTACATTAATCATATAATAATTCCTATAATGATAAAAATTATTATTGCATTAATTATATAATAATATCTATAATAATAATAATATTGTTATTATTATTACATTACATGTAATAATAACTATAATGATAATAGTAATAATAATTATTATTACATAAATATGTTAATTCTTATAATGATAATAAAAAATGGTAATTATTATTACATTAATCATATAATAATTCCTATAAGGATAATAATTATTTCATTAATCATATAATAATTCCTATAATTTATAATAATTGTTATCATTATCACATTAATCATATAATAATTCCTATAATGATAATAATAATAATTGTTATCATTATCACATTAATCATATAATAATTCCTATAATGATAATAAATATTATTATCACATAAACCATATAATAATTTTTATAATGATAATAATAATAATTGTTATTATTATTACATTAATCCTATAATAATTCTTATAATCATAATAATAATTATTATTATTACATTAATCATATAATAATTCCTATAATGATGATAATAATAATCATTATTTTATTATATTAATCGTATAATAATTTCTATAATAATGTACAATGTCTAATTCTTTTGGACTGGTATCGTCTCGGACAAAAGATGAAAAGAGGGCAGGTTGTGGAATGCGTCTACAGAAATAAGTTGTGTATAACAACAACAAAAATGGAGACAACTGTTAGAATAATAGATGAATTTTGTTCATAAATAATGTAATTATCCTTAGCCCCAAGATTAAAAATAATGGAAGTCTTAATAATAAAAAAGAAAAAGCCAACGCTCAATAATATTAACTAAGAACACGGCCACAATGTGGTGTGTTCGGAAAATAAAACATTCCTATAACTCTATAAAAATACACACAACCCATACATCCAGATAAAAGGTAAAATATAATAATCCTTGATAATGGCTACTATATATATATATATATATATATATATATATATATATATATATATATATATATATAAGCACAGGTGATTGTAAAAGAAACTCCCTATTTTATGTGTGAATGGCCAGCCAAGAGTCCTAACTTAACACCCTGTAACTTTTTGTGAGGCTGGGGAAAGAAACAAGTATATTATACCAAATCAAAACTTTGGAAGAACTTAAGGACGAATAAAGATGTTATGTCTTCCATACAACAGGAGTCCCTGGTGAAATCAGTTGACGCGGTTCTTGAGTGGTTCGAGAAGCTTATATTGAAATATGGTGGGCATATAGAATTTTAAATAAAAACGCAAGCTAAACGCTTTCTTCCCATATCCATTTCTTGTAAAAATTATAGTTAATGAATAAATTATAAATAATCTATAAAAGGGAGTTAATTTTCATCCTCGTGGGGGGTGGAGCAGTTAAATATAACAGTGCTAGACCGTTCAACTGTCGAACTCTCTGCCTTGAGCAGAGAGGAACCCGGATGAGGCTTTGCCGAAGAGCAAAGTTTCGTCCGGGGAGGTCGACAGGCCCTGAATGCGGGCTCTAAGGGAATATTTTTGGCCGAGCCTACAGGCTCGGAGAACCCACGGTAAACTCGGCATTGTGCCACATACATCCCTCGTGGGGGGCTGTTAAATATAACAGTGAACAGTGAATAGATTGAGCGCTAGTTCATTCGATACACTCTCACTAGTTGTGTAATACTCTTCTGTTGTACTTACTGTTTAATATACGATATATCTGCAAACTTAGTTTTTGTTATTACTTAACCATTTACTTGGTCACAACTCTTAAACTGCACTCCTCAGCTACCCTCTTTCTTACGATATCCTCAATCAGTAAATCTCTACATTGAGCGCCTCGCGGGCCTTGTATTGGATAACAATCTGTAAAAAATAAAATAATGACTTCCATACAGGAAATCTCGAAAGACTTTATATCATCATGTTAGTCTGTTTTTATGCTTGTAAAATTTATTTTAGCAAGATCTAACCAGTATATACAGTTGAGCAGTTATAAATTTAATTACGCCCCCTTTACCCCATTGAAACTAAGCAAAACTTTCTGTCCTGATTTTCACTAAGATTCGCTGAGTACAGAATAATACCAACCAGGGGTAGCGATTTTTCAGTGCGCTCACGTCCCTACCGAATGGGATACAAAGTCGAAATAAAAGTGGTTTTATCGGGAATGCCGTAGAAGAATTGTTCAAGCCCGCTCGGCACTTTCCCTTTTTGGGGTCGTATCAGGCGCAGGGTAATAACCCCAGCTCTCTCTCGTGCTAATACTAATTTTGAAATGAAATAATACCAACCAGAAGAAAATAACAAGTATGGAAGATTTTATTATTACACCAATCTTCGATTTCTTTTTGCTTGTCGAGAAAATTAGCATCCAAATTTCAGGTTTTTTTTTACTTCTTTACAGACATTAGTCATTACAATCAATAGGAAATCTTAGCCACAAAGCATGCAACACGTTAGCCTTTCTCGTTACAGAACGGAGTAAGAATTCACGAATACATTTGCTGCATATAAATTAAAAGTAAATAATAAAATTAAAAGCCCTTTCTTTAACACGGGTGTTTTTTTTTTTTTGTTTTTTTTTTAGTTATCTCTGTCTGGCTGTACATGTTTAGTAGTTTGATTACGTATAAAAACCATTTCAGCACTTAGGACCGGACGCTTTCTGTCCAAACACGGTCGCCATTATCGATCATCAGTTGTCTCCCCTGGGTTAGATCAATGCAGACATCTAGATATCGATCGATGACCAGCCTGATCAAAATGTACGCTTTTCATTCTTTGCAAATTCTGAATTCATCTGATGATCGTCATTTGGACCGAGGTCTTTGCGCATTTATCGATCGGCCTCCATTGCTTAGCTTTTCGTAAATCACGTGATATCTAAAAACAGCAGCAGCAGCTGTCTTTGGATACAGCGTCAAATATCTGGTTTCTGACTCTTTAAGAAAACTCATAAATCAATAGAGAAAGAAAAAGACGATCAAAAACTCTTGTAATCAGTGATTGGATGGGCAAGCGTAATTTCCTGTTTAACCGTCAGGTGGCTTCGATAGTTGCATTGCTTAAAGACTGATTGGATGTCATTGCTGAGTAGTGTCAATAACGTTCTAGTCGTTGGCACAAAGAAATTCTTGCTTGAAACTAGTTCTTGTCTTCACTCTACTAAATAAGATAAAGGAGGAAAGAAAGGACGACGGACAAGTTGAAGTCGTATTGTTATTCTATAAAATAAATCCATTATGCTGCAAATGGCACCTCAGAGAATGGTCATCGTCAAGAAGGCTTCGTAATTATCCTTTCTCTGTGTACAAGTGACTTGCTGAAGTTATATATATATATATATATATATATATATATATATATATATATATATATATATGAGAAAAACAGCCGCGCCTAAAAGTTATAGACTACAAAAAAGTACTCAATACAAAATTCAAAATCGAATATGTAGGGCAAAGATATTTAAGAAAAGGCTAAAATGCCAACCAACCTCATAATATATATATATATATATATATATATATATATATATATATATATATATATATATATATATATGTGTGTAAATATGTGGATATATATGTTTTTATATATATGTGTGTATATATATGTGTGTGTGTATATATATGTGTATATATATTGTATATTTAGTCAGCAATCCTTCCTTTATGCATGTTTCATTAAAAACTACAGACAAGGTACTACGGTTGAGCTTTTTATTTAATTTTACTTGTGTTCTGACAAGAGCTTTCTTTTCTGGACAAAGGGTGTGCAAGAACTTTCCAAATGGTTTATATTTCCGAGCGCTTTCGGCTATACCTTTAGCCATTATCAACGATGATTCGATTTTTCAGCTTACTTGAGTATGTGCGTTCTGTGTATGTCTTAGTGTGTGGCAGTGATGTTTTTAGTTTCCGAATACGTTAGCACACCGTGGCTTTGTTCGTAGTTAATATTGTTAAGAGTTGGCTTTTTCTTTTTTTTATTATTAAAGCTTCCATTATTTTTAGTCTTTTTTGCAGGTGGATGCAGTTAATATATTTGTGTTTTCTACTAGTAAGTTCCTAATGGAGTCGGGTAAATTTGTGTGTGTTTAAATGGGTCCCAATAGAGCTGTGATCAGATAGGTGTAACGTAAGACGTTTGGATAAGCATGTGGTTGTGTAACCGATGTAATTATTTATGAATCCAGTTTGATCAGGAACACAGGCATTTGAACTCATAGATAATGTTCGTTCTTTGTAATTTTGACTTAGCTGGTGTGTTGTTATTTTTGAGGATAAGGTTGGCTGTCTTAAATTTTTATAATAGATAATAAATTTGATTTTTTTATTCGGGTCAATTGGAGGTAGTATATTTCTTTATAATATGCCTTAGAGAAGATTCGTCTTGTTTGTAATTAATATGCATTTGGTTTTTGTAATAAATGTGTATGTGATTTTTGGCTGTGTGTTCGCTATCGTTATTACTTGCTTTGGGGAGAAATAGTCTAATTTGGTGGTCTATAAGGTGGTTAGGGAAGCCGTGTATATATATATATATATATATATATATATATATATATATATATATAAATTGTGTGTATTTAGGCAGCATCTTTTCATTCATGCACGTTTCATTAAATAATATAGACAAGTGTTGTCTATTTATTTTCTGTAAATTTTTTTCATAACGTCTGATAAGTTTAATAACATTATCGTTGAACGAAGAAAGAAACTCACAATATTGATACACACAATTTAAAGTACATGATCCAGCAGCCCACAATACTATCAATACTTGGAATTACAAATGTAGCCTTGTGAAAAGGCAAATTGAAATAGGAAAAGAAAAATTGAACAACCTTAAGAGCAGGACATTTATAATCACTGTCGTGTCCGTATATTGTTTAATATGTTGTAATTGACATCTTTGATAATGGCTTATGTAAGCCGAAAGCTTAGATTGTATTAAAAAAATATGGATCAAGCCATTTATATATATATATATATATATATATATATATATATATATATATATATATATATATATATATATATAAATTCAATTCATCCCAAGTAAGGCGATAACGACACAAGGGAGGTTACTGGAAATGAATGATAATTAGAAAACTTTAGAAGGAACCGAGAACTCAATCCTAAACAGGAAACAAGGGATAGACCTCTACACCTGTTCAAAAAACCGAAAAGGAGTGTAAAGCAGACTATAGGCGAACACTCCTCTCCGGTCTTTTGAACAGGATTAGTGAACAGTAGTGGATGCGCACTGCTGACGAGTCCCCAAAATAAGACGAAACGGCAGTCCAGTGTTTTCTGCATTCTGTTGAGAATTCTTCGAGACTCGATGAATTACTTTCATTATATATATATATATATATATATATATATATGTATATATATATGTGTGCGTGTGTGTGTATAGTAATAATCATAATATAAATAAGATACAATTACGTATATTTGACGCATTTTTACGCTAATAGATCTATCACAAAGCTGACAATAATTAACATCCATTTGGGAAAATATATCAAATCCTTTTCTTGACTTTAATTCGTTCAGTGAGTGTTCTATTCTCCAAGTCTTCTTTTTTATTATATATTCGAAATAATTCGGCTGCCTCTGCTTGTTAAGCAGCAGTTTCATCTTAGAACTTCCAAGCTTCTTACATGCCCTTTCCAAGGTATTAATATTTCTTTCTTAATTTCAGTCTATTTTCTCATTTTGTTTAGATATATTTTTTTTCATTTCAGGAGTGTCAACTTAAAACATTTTATTTCTACAGGAAATCTCATTGAAATGTTTGTGAAACTAAATTGTTAACATTTCCTTTGTTTGAATGTTATTTTGACTTTCATTAAGGCTTCAACAAGGAAATTTAAGAAATATAAATTAAATAACACCTGTTTATTTATTTTGGAACTATACCTGTATCTTCGTGGCGCAAGTCAGTTGTGTTTATTCATTCCAGACACGCAAGCATATAGGCAAAGTGCGGCAGAAATACCTACTACATATATCTCCCAGAAATATCTCCTACATATTTGTAAGATATTAGCTAGATGAAGACATCATTGCCACTAATGCCTTATTATTATGTTAGAGATATTTCTGGGGAGATATATGAGGGAAGTATTTCTGCCGCACCCCGTATAATAACAAACGTCGTTAACGCCTAACAAAACATGGAGTCCAGTAAATTACTGGAGCTTTGTGTTGAAAGCTGAGCAAATTTATGTAAACAGAGTGTTCAGTCTTAAAAGATAAGTAAGTCTTTTGAACTTTACACACACACGCACACACACACACACACACACACATATATATAAAACCTAACATATTTTCTTTGTTTCAGGAAAATTCTCTGTTAATCTTTTTCAAACCAACTCTATGCTTGTGTTTGTATATCTGTAACAATATAATAAAATTGATTTGCATGTCTATGAAGTCAGTTAAAAGGAAATGTATTTTTGTGCGATGTCAGCTTAAAAAAATAGAAAATACAATAAACAGTGTGGTTTTATACAAATCGGTTGCTGATTAAAATGTCATCACAATGTACGGAAGCCCGTAAGTGCAAAGATTTCATTGTAGTTGTGCTCTATTTCAGTTGTGGACTTTTTATTTACAGAGCGGCGTTGCCAAACCAGAGGACAGATTGTTGTAATAGTGAGTCTTTTACAGTCTTTGGTGTCTCCCGTTTTTCTCTGTGCTATTTTACTTTCTGTCCTTGATTTTTAATCCTTTTACCTCCTTTTTGTTCACTATTTTACTACATCCTCCCAAACCCACCTTCCGTTTTCCCATGATTCCACCATCCTTCTGTCAGCATCTCACACTTCCGGTCTTTTGATTAATTCCTTTCCACTGTTGTCCGTTGCAAATTCTTTCTTTCTCGCATTCTCAGCTCCTTTTAAAACTCGCATTTTATTTTAAGTTGCAATCGTATTGCTCGCTGGTTGCATTATTTCGTTCAATTTGGGAACATTTTTCGTTAAAATTGCAAAGAAAAAAAGAACTGGTGCAACTGTTTCTAAAAATATACCCGAATATACACGCGTATCATGCGGCATCGGAAGTTCTAATTTTGAAGCTAATTTGACTACAGTAAATGGATCATTGGATATATAGTTTAGTCAACGGCGTAGCCAGTCCCAGCAGTGCATAGGCTAATTTTATATCTCGTGTTTGACGCGAACCCCTTAAAATTAGCTTCAAAATTCGGTCTTCAAAAGTCGTATGATACGCGAGTACATACAGTAATTAAAAAAGGATATTTGACTCCTTTTGTATTTATAAATATTTTGCTAAAGGATTTATTTATAATAAAAAAAGATTGATTTTGGTTGAAATATACAATGAGTCCCAATAAAGATGTATACACACATATTTCTTGCATTGAAATGAAAATGTGCAGAGAATTCTTCGGCTATTTGATGGTGAAGGGAGGTTTTATTTTCAACAAGAAAATACATGCCGTTCTGAAAACAATTCTTATTTCAAGGAACATTTGCAGAACTAGGAAATGTGTTGAATAAAAAACTTGCCAGTGCATTGAATATTATATAATACTGTTGTTGGGATCGATCTACCCAGGTTTTTGTCACCATCTGAATGTCGGGATTCCGAACATTTAACAACAACAGTACATCTTTTAATATTAAAGGTTATTTTCTGAAGGAAAACTAGAAGCAGAACATCAGGTGAAATAACATTCATGTATTCTTTTCAGAAATATACAATAGCAATACAATATTTAATTTTCCTTACACTGAATTTTGTTTTATAAAGTAATTAAGTGTTCGTAGTGCGAAGTGAAATGTGTGAACGAATTTATTTTGTGACGGTCAATCTAATGTGTTTGTGAATTCGTAGACAAAAGGGGTAGTCGGCGATTGCTGGCTAATCCCTTCTTTTGTGAGCGTGGACTAGGTTTTAGTCGACGGGTTTTGACTGTAGTCTCTTCCACTATGTGCGTGGGTTGGGTGCATGTGTATATACACACGTGTAGATCAAACTGGCCTCCGAAAATGTTTTGAGCCGCGAGAAGCAATAGGCTTCTGTTTTTATATCTGTTAGGGCTATCTAAAATGTAATTTTACATAGAAGTGTGAACTTTCTGAATGCAGGGTTTTCATTAGTTAGAAAATACTTTGAAACCGGCTCGCGAAAAGCTTTTTCTTGAATTTGCGGGAGTAGTGAAAGGAGTTGTTATTTTCTGAATGGTCCAAAAATAACACGTGATAGGGCTACAACTACGCCCCGCAAGTATTTTGGCAGTATTTGCCCTTGTAATGATTGTTTATCAAACAAACCCTTTGATGGGATTTTATTGGCTGAAATATATATAACTTAATTAATTCGTGTTTTGTAATAGACAAGGATTGCAATACACCATTTTGCAGCGGGAGGGGTTACGATGATGAGGATGAAGACTTTTCAAAAGGAATGAATTCAACACGTGGGAGATATTTTATAGAGATATATTTCTATAAAGAAGAGCATAGCTCACAAAAAGGAATAAAAAAGAAAACTATATTTACGTATATTCTGATATAGCCCATAAAAAGAAAGACATTTATAGGCTTAGCTATAGTGTGTATTTGACCCGTGATTGAAGTAAAGAGTTCCGTTGTTGTCGCTATTACATTTCGGAGTAAAAAGAGAAAGAAATAGTTTACGCCCGTTTCTTTTATAGTCCTGAATAGAACGCTACTAAGACTACTTTCAGACAAGGTGAGTCAATACTCACACCAGATTTCTTGTTTACAGAACAGCTTAAGCACCATGATGACATGAAACTCTTGTACAATTTCTTAAATAAGTATGTGTATATTTTTAAGGGGACTCGTTGTAAACATTGTTTAAATATTCATTAATTAAAAGTAATAAGAAATAAAAACAAAAAACCGTTATTGGTTGTTTATTTTTGCTTATGTCATCTTAAAAGTTAACTTTTTCACATAAACCGTCATCTGACGCTACTTAAAATGGATATAGCAGCCATCTTGCTTATTTGCGCACTTATCCTGTTTCTTCTGTCGCAGTGGCGTTAAAATAAAGCACACAGGAAATATTGGGTTTATATCTTCTCTAAAAATGCTAGTGATAAAATGACGTGAAAACAAAGCATCACCAGGATTTTAATTTAATTTTTTTAAGTGGCTACCAACTCATTTTTATGTGCTATTGAGTCAAATGTGTCCGATAATATCAACCGGGGATGTAACAAACAACGGACCACTTTTAACGAGTCACGTCACCACCACATGTCTCTACTCTGAGTTTTGCTGATATTGCATCCACTCTTCAGAAGACTTGATTGTAAAATTGAACTTATTTTCAGAAATCATATTTTCTTAAAATTTTCCTTAAAAGACATTATTGTATGACACAAATATGTAGGGATATCAGTGTCAGACGATATATTCTTAAAGGTAAACACCCGAAATATGTTACAGAAATTATTTCGACAGTTATTGTCTTGACAAAGGTCAGCTTAATGAAGTAGACCTCCTGAGAACCAGGTCAAACAATCGGTTTTTGATACTGGTATGTGAAAAAGCGTTTTCTAAGTAAATCGTTAATCTAGTGAATGCCTCAAACTATTGTTTAAAAAATGTGTGGGTGGTGGAAGAAATACTCTCTCCCTAAAACCAGGTTAAACGATCCAGACAAAGAAGGCCACCGAGTGAAGCCAGAACCCGAGTTCTTGGTAAATTATGTTTTTTTTTTTTAGACAGAGCTTGCATGAGAAAGAACGCTGTCTCTATAAGAGAGTGGTTCCTAGCAGTAAAAGACAGAGAGGCAGAAAGAGGTACAAGAGAACACTCGCGTGCTACGTGAAAGGAAGACATGCCCGCTGAAAAAGCCCTCACCTCTGTTTGATGGTTTTATCTGGCCAAAGATTTCTTTTTTAAACGTCACGCGTTTGACTGAAAGAAGCTGCACCCTGAGAACGAACCTTGTGTCTGGCCTGAGCTGCAACGCTACAAACTTATAGAAAATCGTTCGGTTATATAAATTAGATATTAATGTGAATTTGGATTTGAAAAAGATGTATAGCTAAGCATTTCGGTTTTGGATAGGAATATGTGTATAAGTTATAAAAGTAAATTGTTAATCAAGTGAAGGGCTAAAAAAAAAAAGGGCGCTTGGGAGAATACAACTTTTAGGGGCTTACCAGTCAATTTAATTAGTGCCGAAGCTGCGAAGATTAACCGACAAGGTAAAACGCGTAAAAAAAAAGCTTAGAGTTTAAGAATTGACTGAAAGCTAAGTTTCAATATTCGAAATTAGGAACGCGAATCTTTCTGAAGTCAGTAAACAAAAATGTGATGTAAAAAATTATCAATGCGTTTATTCCACGCATTTATTCCGAGCGTGGGTTCGAAAGATTAAAAAAAAAATTAACGAAAAACCACCAAACAAAAGACTCTATTTAGATTCAGTCGCCCTGGTTAGAATTTTGATTTAGCTGAGCTTTGTTTTATTATGTTCGCCATTTGAAAATAACACCGGCACCTATTTAACCATTTTGTTGAAAAATTTCATTATTTTTAATCAAAGATTGATACCTTCTTGATTTCTGCATCTTCCTACCTCTCCCCACCGCTGTCTACCTTGTCTTGTATTAATCCAATTAGAAAAAAATCTTCCTTTCAACATTGTTACCCGCTGCGAACCTTAAAATTAATAAACCCTGACTTGACATTGTTAATCATATCCAGTAACTGTAACTCATTACAATTTATGATCTTTCTAATGTCGATGTTTGGATTCTTTTCCCTATCAAGTATGCGTAATAATATTTACGATATAACTAACTACTTATTATTCTAACAGTAACCTACATTATTCTACACTAATCACTTCCAAGAAACAAGTGTAAGTTTTCTTCAGTTCGTTTCTAAAAATTTGCATCCCACTAAGATTGGGTCAAACATTGATTTGCTCCTGTTCGAGAAAGAACATTTTTTAATAAGGAAATTTACAAAAAGCGTATTAATTTCTTCAGCGAAAATGGTTAATTGAAACGAAGATCATTACAGAGCTTAATTTTAATTCAATTATTTTGACTTGTAGTCGTAGAGATGATGAGAATAAATGTTAAGTTTAAAGCTTTTATCGGAATATTCAATCGTCTCACTAACAGTGTCATTACCAACACACACACACACACACCACACCTCTTTCTCTCTCTCTCACACACATACACATATATATAAGTGGGCAGAAATCTTTAATACATGTGGCATTAAATGTGACAGACAAGGACAAACTTCAACGATTTTATTAAGTTTTCCTAATGTTCTTAAAGTTTTACACACACACACACACACACACACACACACACACAGTACAGGGTTGGTGCAGATGGAATAAAATTCCGATAACTAATAATACTATTCTTAAAAGAGTAGAGCAAATAATATTTATTCAAAAATTATAACATAAGCATGTTATAACATCACTACAAAAATAGCCATTTTATTCTAACACTTCCGGTGTCTTGTCAAGTGATGGCGTTGATTGCGAAATGAAAAAAGTTTTAAGAATTCAAAAAAGCTCTTTATTTTGCAATCAACGCCATCACTTGACAAGACACCGGAAGTGTTGGAACAAAATGGCTATTTTTCTAGTGACATTTTAGAGGAAATAGCTATTTTTCCGAAAACGTTTTTCACCCATGCACAATTATCTTCTTGCCATCACATTCGGTTTCAGGAGTTGACTGTGACTGCACGTTTTTTTTGTTGTTTTTTTTTTTTTGTTTTTTTTTGTGACATGCGCATTGTGTTCATTTAGTCACCTGTCGTTGCATGTTCGTTTCTAATAACTGATACGTATAAACTTTTAGCATCTAAACAGATCTTTATCATTTTTATTTTGGAAAAAAAAAAAGAAAAAACGAAAAGTTGGTTGTAATCAAAACGAAATGATTCTGTTAGATTGAATATTTGGTATAATTTTTTGTTTTGTCGGCATGTGGGAGTAGAATTTGTTTCTGCTTCATGCAAAAAACAAACAAATTACACGCTATTTTTTTAAAACTGTTATTAAGCATATTCTATGTTGTTTTTACTTAGTCAACTATGCATATGAATTTTCAGCTAAGCGAACAGTGCATGGATATTTGACATAGAAGTCAAAGGTATCAGATCAAATCTTTGTTTTCAGCTTTTATATATGCTTATAATCCGTTTGTTTGTGAAAAGAATCTGTTAGCTAATCATAATTTAAGACAGAAATGAATTTTCTTTCATTTTAACGTGACAAAAATATGATAAGCTAAAAGCAACAGACAGTTCTGTTTTTGTTACCTCTTCAGAAACCGTCCATTACATAAAGACAGGCACTTCGCCCATATCTATAACGTTTTACTTAGAAAGAATTCGTAAATTTATGTCAATACTGTCCACCATACTTAAAATGTCAACATTTGGGCCATCAATATATCGATGAAGACGTGAGAATAACAATACTCCATGGTTAAGAAATGATTATATAGAACTATAAGTAAGTAATATTTGTTTGAGAACAGATTAAATTTAAATTTGCTAATTTTTCGCAAATAACGTTTCAGAAATATACATTTTATTTTTGCAAGATTTTTAAATCTGAGAATTAACTTTTTTTTTTACAAATATTTTAAAATGGCCGTTTCGATTGATTTTCCTGAAAAAATGAATTGATTAAAAATTATTTAATATCTATTTGAAATACATCACTGTATTTTGCTTTCTGGAATTAGAAAATTTAATCCTTTAGCTTTCAATTAAAGCTAAAATGAAAAGAAAGTTTTTCATTTATGAAAATTCATTTAAACCTTAGGTAGTGATTTTCCAAGCACAGCTTAGATGTGGCACAAGGCCGAAAGTTTGGGGCACCCACTGAGGATCGAACTCACTACTCATTCGTAATTGTTTTAGCGAGACATGCTTGCTAACCATTACACCGCCTCAGGGTAAAAACCTTAGGTATACCGAATTATTGGAGATACCTATACTAAACTTCTTTGGGTATGTTAAACCAAAATTTTTATATTTCTTCTTGAATCCCTTTAAATAAATGTTGTACCACTAGTCTTCTTTGGGATTGCTAAACCAAAATTTCATATTTCTTCATAAATCCTTTTAAATAAAAATTGAACCACTAAACGTCTTTGAGAATGCTAAACCAAAAATTCATATTTTCAAATTTCATGACTAATGTTTCCTTATTAAAATTTAGCGTTCAACCCAGAGTTTTAGTTATTCTACAAGCGCGTCCTGATGAAAGAAAAATTTGACCCAGATAGAGTTGGTGGGATAACATCATTTTGTGATCATCAACTAAGGAGTAGCAGGCACTAAATAAGCTTACGCGAGAGCGTAATAAATGGCGGAAAATAAAGAATGTTAGTTCGTAAGCTATGGCAAGCGGAGACAGAAATTATTAATAGTGACAGTTGAAGAAATATTACGTTTTTAAGAATTTCAAATAAAGAACCCAACAAAACGCTTGCTCTATTAACTTTAGAAATAAAAAAGAAATCCCCAAATACTTCGGTCGTTAAAAGAAATGTTTTAGACTTTTCCATTAACTTTGAAATCTCCAGGAATAAAAACACAGACCTGCTTGATTTCAGTACTCCCGACCTTGTATCTATGAATTTATTGGATGGCACACTAAGTGCGTTTGGTTTGGCTTGGTTTATTTTGTTTTACGGCATATCAGCCTCAATGGGTTATTTAATGCCGACAACATTTTTTTATTGCTGGTAATAGTTTGTTTTGTCAAAAATCTGTTTCTGGTAATATCCTTCCTTCAAAATTGTATTACTGGTAATATTTTTTTTCAAAAAGTATTTCTGGTAATAGTTAACTAATTGCCCATAGCTGGGACCCTAACAGGTGCTACCACCAGCAATTAAGAGGTGGTTCCACGCTCCTCAAAACCTCTTGACCAGAGGCCTTGTTGCTGAATGTAGTTTATCGTCTTACCCAAGACGCGGACGAAAGTTTGGTTTAAGTATTAAGATATTTAAAAAAATATATTTTGTAACATTAAATGTTAATACTACAAAAGAAACATATACTAAACATATTTACATTTTCAACAAAAAAATGATATACGTACCTTTTGCAATATTCTAAAGAACTGCCTTTTTTCATGAAGACAATTCTGCAATGAGTAGTATAAATAATAAAACAAAGGTAGAATATCTGGCAAATATGGCAAACAGAAGAAAACTCCACAATCATGCTGTATCAAATTTTGTCTGATCACCAATGAAACATGAGGTTGAATGTTTAACATCATGGAATATTACCTCTTTTCAGTTAACCATGTCTAAGCGCTTTAAGTCGATTATTGTCTTTTCTTTTTTTCCAACTAAGGGACTGTATTTGCCCGAATAAATCGTTAGATTGTTAAAAAAAAGAAAAGATGACTCCCTTCAAATCACGCTATATACACAGTGTTACCTTTGAAGACTGGCTCTTGGTATAGTTATTGTTATTTAATTTCACTCGGCCTACGATTTTTTAAAAACTAACATGGTTGTAAAGTATTCACTATTCATTAAAAACAACAATATGTGTTTAAAAAAATGGAGCATTTTCTTTACGTTTAACAAGCACACGGTGATAGGGTCCAGTATATAATGCTCCCGAAAATTAATTCGGTTGAGCTCTCTGGGGAGTAAGTGCGAATTTGTAAACAGTGACTGTTACTGTTGCTAATGCAAGACTCTTCTAATGAATTGAGTTCTCTTGGTCACTGGTGTGTTTGTTTAAAATAAATACGCTAAAATTCACCTTCCTCTTTACCGTGCGCCAATAGGGGTAGATTCTCTGACTGATGACAAATCAGCCGGGTTTCGATCCCGGCTTGAAGCAATCGGATGTCTAGCCACAAACACTGATGAGCTGTGATAGAGCGAAATAGTCTGTCTGTGGATGACGATATATATATATATATATATATATATATATATATATATATATATATATATAGTGTGTTCTCATAAATATATATGTGTGTGTGTGTTGGTCGTGTGAAAACCACAGATTAAAATAACTAACATAACTAAATCGGAGCCGATTATTTGTATGTTTTGAGGGTGTTGGCTCTTTCGCGTCAGATACCGTTGATCAGCCTCAACCGGTTGTGGAGCGTTGTTTATCGAGAGATCTCCGGGTCGGAGCTTCGCAAACCACTCTTGACACTTTCGATCGGTAACAAAACCTTCGATTTAAGTTGCAGATTTATCTTAGTTAAATTTTTTTTTCGTTCTCTAAAAATGACATCCTTGTTAATATTGTTAATGTTATTTTTTCCATGTTAGATTCTGTAAACAAAAATGCATCAATTTTGATAATTTAAAAAAATAAATAAATAAAAAATAAATGAACACTTTTATGACAGCTGTTAAATTAATATTAAAAACGATATTTTAAATGTTTCTAATGATATCTAATGTTAAAAAGAGAACGAACTTTTTGGGTAATCCAATAGATTAAATATTTATGCTTTAATGTATCAGATTATTTGAATATATTTTATACATGTTTAGTTTTCACTGAAACCTCAATCTTCGGTTTTGATGTATTATTTAAGTCATTCAATTGCTACTAATTTGATTTTCTGTTATCAACTAAACTCATTTTTTTCTTTTCTGCTATTTTTAGGAAACTCTGTTATACATGTGACCTGTTTAATAAAAAATGGAGGAAAAAAATTCTCGGTTAAGTCAGAGATTAGACTGTGACCGGAGAACTAAAAAAAAAAACAAATAAAAAATAATATTGACTAACGAGAATAAATCGCTGACAACTGATTGATCATTGGATGACCACGTGATGAAAATGGTGATCTGCACAAATTCTTTCTCGCTTCGATTGTTTAGATGAGCGATTGCGCATGTGCAGCCAGCAACCAAGACCTGGAGGCAGACAGAACGGAAGAAGCTTTTATTGTTAAAACTCATTTTTTTTTCATATATCGTTATTGTTTGTTGAGATTCCTTGCAAGAATTATTTTTTTTATACCTTGCAATTTTATTCAAACATAAAGGAATATTTTTAGCATCCTTGCGAAAAAGCAAAACAGAGTAATTACTAACAATATACATTTTTATCTGACTGGAAAAGAGGAGAAAATATGCCAAAATGTTATAAATATTTTTTCTAAAAAATAACCAAAAAAAAAAAAAAGAAGCGAGAATCATGGTAAAGAATAACATTTTTGTCAAGAAATTGGTGATTCGAGAAAGAGAATATAGTTTTGAGATGGAGCATTAACATATTAAGGTGAAGGGAAAAAAAAAAAAAAAAAGGAAAAATACTTTCCTTCATGCAGTTGGGATTCCAGGTTTAGCAGGGTTTTTTTTTTCATTTTCCTCTATGTATTTTTATTTGTTTTGTTTTAGTTATAAAGTCTTTTAGAAGTCCAAACACGCCACCGATTTTCCGGTGACTGATAGTCCGAAAACTCAATCCTGAAAAAATTACAACTGAATTTTTTGCTAACTTTGTTTAACCATTTATTTAATCTGACTAAAAGCGATTTGAAATTTTCTAACATTTTGCTGAGAGTTACCTCCCTTGAACTCGCGGCTATATGGTGGATGCAGAATGGTTGTCGATCTGACCAAGAATTAATTTAAAAAAAAAATGAATTCTGGTGTTTGGTTATTTGGTCAGGGTTTGGAAATTGGGCTGGGTCGATAACTTTTCAGCACTCCCACGGATATTTATATATTTAAAAATATACACGTGAAAATAGTAAAGACTTAAAACAAATTGTCTTTTTTACTAGTTTTAACTAGTAGTATTATAAGATTCTAATAGACATTACGTGAAGGACCAGTTTCCTACTGTTTTAAGTAGAAAGATCCTTCACAAAATTCCTGCACGTTAAAATAATAATGGAAAAATATATTTAAAAACTCATATTTGAAAAACTTGTCATAAAAAGTAAGAATTTAACAAGATACGCCATCACTTTTTTATACTCTGGGTAAACTCGAATTATTTTAAGATTCTGCTGGAAATAAGGAGAGGGATCAGTTTTCTACTGTTTTAAGTAGTAGGATCCATCACAATTACAACATGGAAATATAATAACTGGAAAAAAAAAACATTTGAAAACTCATTTGTAAAAATCTTCGCCTAACAGTAACGACTTGGCAAAACATACCGTTATTTTTACGCTATGGGTAGAATCGTATTAGCATAAGATTCTACTGGATGTAAAAAGAAGGATAAGTTTTCTCCTGTTGTCAGCAGTAATACCCCCCTCCGCAAGAATTATAAAATACTTATATAATAACTGGAAAAATATATATATAAATCATAAACTAAAAACCTGTCATAATATGATTTTCATTTTATTTGATCGTGGGTAAATTCGTATTTAATATTCATTTAATGCAGCTTAATGGCTATAATAATTCAAATGTATGGTATTCTTACGTCGGATGTTTATTGAATTATTATTATTATTATTGCATGAACGTTCTTGGAATAACAAAGCAGATTATTCTATAAGATTATAGAGCCAACAGTGCCAAAAATCAGTGGCGTATCCGATGTACTTGTCTAAATTAAAACACGTCATATATCACACACTCACACACGTGTGTGCGTGTGTGTCGTTAAAGACGGCTGACAAAGTACTATGATTAGGCTTTTATTCCAATGTTCATCCACAAGTAAAGAAAAAAAGAAAAAAGTCAACACTCAATAATATTAACCATGAATAAGGCTGAAACGTGTTGACCGTGTTTGGGGAAAAAATTCCCATCCGATAGATAAACATGAATAAAAATTTACATATTCAGTTAAAAATTAAAAAGAAACTTGAGGATAGTCGAAAGCGCTCGGATATATAGAAGGTTTGAACAGTTTTTAAACACTTTATATTCAGAAAAGAAAAGACTTATACAAACAAAAAAAAAATGATTAAAAAGATCAATCGCAGTATGAAACTTATATAAAAGAGGGACTGCTGCCCAAATATATATATACATACACACACACACACACGCACATACATACATACATACTTACACACACATATATATGTATGTATATATATATATATATATATATATATAAAAGACTAACAATGGGTAAGTGAATGACAAAATAGGAAATATTCTTAAATACAAAGATGTGAGGGCAGAAAGATAATTATAAACGATGTTTGTTTTATTTCTACATCGTACTCCCTCAATCCTTATATAAGACTGATTCCATCCATAAAACCGCTATTAGTCTGAAGGCGTTTCTTCTCGGAATGGAACGTATCACAAAGACGGTTTTCCATTTTGTCATTCACTTACCGATCATATATATATATATATATATATATATATATATATATATATATATATATAATGCGTGTGTATGTTTAAACGTATCTATCTATCTCTCTATATATGCATTTATACGTGTGTATATATATATATATATATATATAAATATACATTTGAATATCAATGTATATATAAATATACACATAACTTTATAGATGTGCACACCTATGATATATATATATATATATATATATATATATATATATATATATATATATATGTATGCATGTGTTTGTGCGATTATATGTATAAACAAATATATATCAGTTTCCCTCTGAAAATTTATTCTACAAGCGTTTGTTATTAAAGTTGTGTTTCGTTTATCTACTTTTCAATGAAACGCATCTGAATTTAAATTCCTGTTTAGTTTGGTGGTAATTTATACATGGTTTTCCACTTGATAAATCTTTTTTTTTCGTTTGATAACCTTTTCTTAGGCAAATAATTTAACTGTTGATACTTTAAATTACATCTTAGTTTTCATTTACACGCACCCAAAACAAACATATTTTTTCTAATGTGGAAACTTCGAGATTTAGGACTTTATATCGGTGTGTGAAGTCTGTGATATTTTTCTAATCTTTTTCGAAATTTTTTAATCATTGAAACCGCTGTCCTCTTTTTACAAAGTTTTATCCATTCTTCAAATTTTGCAGCTTACAAAATCTATCTATCTATCTATCTATCTATGAGCATTCATCTCTCTTTCTTATACTATATATATATATATATATATATATATATATATATATATATATATATAATGTAAAAGCATGTGAATGTATATTAATTCTCATATTGTGCAGTTCAAACCGGACCCGTTATAAAAATTATTCTGAGATTTGGCTTAGGGGAAATCAAAGGCCTATAATGCTTACAAAATTCCCAATAAAAATGAATATGAAAAATAAACAAAACAATCACTCATTATTATCTACATTTCCAGAGCAAAACTATAAACGTGGAATCCTGACCACGTACCAGCCTTACCTAAATAAATATCATCTGGTATTACATTTTTTATATATATATATATATATATATATATATATATATATATATATATGAAGTTACCATATATTTATTCTTTTAAGATACGCACACACAAACTTATGAACCAATCGCACACACACACACACACATATATATAACAAACTCACATCTATCCAACCAAATATGTTAACTCTATCTCTGATATTGAGCGCTTTCTAATAAGTACGCGCATATAATATATAAATAATTATACATATATATATTTATTTATATTTATATACACTTTTCACACATATATATATATATATATATATATATATATATATATATATATATATATATATATATATATATATAAATTATGTGAAAAAATAATTGGGAAGGTGACATACGATTGAATTATGGGGGAAAATTACTATTTCTCTTTCACACCGGAATTTCTATTACTTTTGTTTGAGACCCTGTGTTATTACAGTTGGCGAAAAATTAACTTTTAACTCATTATAATTCTCATCAGTGTATAATGTACACGAAATTTCGACGCGCCTATGAAACTTAAAATTGTCTTTTCTATTTCATTTTCCCCCTCTCTCTTCTTTGTATATGCATACATACATACATACATATATATATATATATATATATATATATATATATATATATATATATATATATATATATATATATATGCAAACAATATATATTTTCTGTATATATATATATTATACAATATATATTTATGTTTGTGTGTGCTTATATATATATATATATATATATATATATATATTAATGATCAATATCTATCTATCTATCTATATATATACTGGATTCACTTTTTGTAGAAACGGATTCTCTTCTTTAATATGGATATAAAGACGAGGGGTACCCCCGGTAATGCGGACACTGTCGCCGTGTAACATTCATTCTCACACAAGACAAGGACAGAAAAATCGCAACCCCACATACGCATTATATATATATATATATATATATATATATATATATATATATATATATATATGTGTGTGTGTGTACATTCATGTTTGTATTTATTGAGAATGCAAGCCGTAAACTTGTGTCTGAAGAACTTAATATTTTTTGTTTTGAATGAAAAGAATTTAACGCCATGTTCGTTAGAGATTTTCTTTCTTTTAAAAATTATTGGAACACATTTCCAAATCATCTAAGCAACTTGTAGATTGCGTCCTTTTTTTCTGTAAGCGGTCTTTTCTCGTCTACTGGATTCTTTGATATAATCAGTTTTCACCAGATATCGTGCAGGTATTTGATGGTTGTGGGTGGAGCGGGTCACAGTAAAAATGCTGGGGATATAGCTTTTGATATTTCTGCTACTTGTTTTATCCGGCGCTGACTGTAGCTAAAATATAAAATTCTTTGTCTGAAGTGACGTTTCTTTGTTTCTTCCTTTCCAGACTATGTTCTTTCGAAATTCCTCAGATTTTATTTCTATTTTTCAATTAACGCGCCCACTCTCTCACGACACACACATGCGTCTTGTGGCATAGTTGCCTTTTGCTTATGATGTGCATATGCGCTCATTCCAATATTATTTAGGCAGTGTAAATAGCAATACACGTGAATTTCTCTTTTGTGATATTGAACAGAGAACTTTTCCCCCTGTTATTCTACCTGTTCAGATAGCCAGGTCAGCAGTGATTGGTTTAGAAATTTTTTTTTCCACTGGTAGCAAGTTGTAAGTATAGATTTTTAAAGGGACCAAGATTCATTATTTACATTATTCGGACTATTATCCTCATCTTTGTCGCCATATTTATTACAACGTTTCGGCCGTTGTACGCTCCAACCATCTTCAGGTGGTTGGAATGTCGAAATGAACCCTTTATTTCGCTCACTGGGGTAAATATGGCGACAAAGATGAGGACAATAGTCCGAATAATGTAAATAATAATACCCATTTCAGAAATATAGACCAAGATTCATATTTTAACTCTGAGCCTTTGTTAATTTTTATAAAGGGACCACGAAAAATAACGGTTGTGGATTCTTGGGTCCAAAATTCCAATAGAGACATTCCTTAATGAAATTGTAGCAAGTCTTATTAATTCAAGCAGATACACACCTGTTCCATAAAAAAGATGTTAATGAAATGTACATGGCGGCAGGTACAAGATATCTCCCTAAGAAGACGAAGAAAAACATATATATACACGTTATTTCATTGCAGTTTTGGTTGTTACCTCAAAATTAATTAAACATTTTCAATAATATTTGAGGAGTTCGAAAAAAATAAGGTTAAGGATTAATTAACATGTATCAGCCAATATTTGAAAAGGCCATTTTGAAAATATGTTACATAAGAGAGTCAATTCATCGGGGTCGGCGATAGCTGAGCATTTATTAAATAACTGTTAATGTGCCAGGTCCTATAGCCGAAAAATGTTCTCTGTACTGTGGAAGACTAACTCTAGTTTTGACTATAAGGTTTTAGTGTCAATTTATATTAAGTCCTTCCAGCCATCCCACTGTAAGCAACAGGAGTGGCTGCTAGATTTAAGTATGATTATACAACATCCACTCTCAGGTGTTGTTTATTTTAGTCGCTGTGCGAATCGACTGAGTTCTGATGAGAGAGAAATGACAAACCGGTTAAGCTATTTTTGTTTATTTTAATTTTTGTTAACTTATTTTCTTTTCTATATTACCACTTTACGGTAATGTAAATTTATTTCGTTATACTTTACCGTTGTTTTAACATGTTCCTTTTAATCGTAATTATTAAATTCTCTACTCCTTATATTTATATTTATATACCACTAGTGGGGGGGGGGCTCCATATTTTCGGCCTTGCCACATCTGAATTACACTTATTAAGTATATATATATATATATATATATATAATGTAAAGAATTGATAGATTTACTTTTTATTCCAGCATTTTTCCTACTTCAAACGTTATTAATAACGTAATAAGAATGTCGGATTAAAAATAAATCCATTAATTCTTTAGAAATTGCTTTGTCTACGTTTCGGATACAAAACTGAGCAGATATGGAATTTTGAGTTAAACAATCTGAGATGAGAAGCTATGCTTTCCTTAAAAGGAAACATCGACGCTTACTGAACTAGCACTAATTTCATTAGCCGAGTGGCAAAGCGGGTCGGATCAAACGGTCGTTTCTCCTACAACGGCGGACGCAGGTTCGATCTCTGCTGGGGAGCACATTTTCTTTAAGATTTTTTGGATGTACAAACCGATAGCGAAATACTAAGCAAGAAAGTTACTGTGATCTTTACAGACGTTTCTACCAAAATTATTACAGACACTCTTTACGGTCATGTGTTCGTAATTCACACAAATATTCTGACTAAAACCCAAAACTCGTTACTGTTACTTGACAGAGATTGCTTACATTTGAAACACCAGTTCTCGTACGATCACTGAAGTTAAGCAACGTCAAGCCTAGTCAATACCTAGATGGGTGAGCGCTTGGAAATACCAAGTGCTGTTACCTTGAATGTGCGGGTGTTGTAATGGATAATGACACCAAATTGGAAATGGCGCAGCCGAGTTCAAATTTCAGTTGCGTTCGTTATTGTCAATTACGCGCCAATACACTTAGGAAAGAATACGAATGCACCTCTTCTCCACCAGTTATGGGTTAATTAGTAAAATTTGTATAACTAAATCTTTATTATCACACTCCAAAATTTTTACGTACCAAAAAAAAAAAAAAAATTTTGGCTTTAAATCATCAAGAAAGGGTTGACAAGCCGTAAAAACTATTTAATCAATTAGACGTCAAATTATAAATTTCAAAGGGAACCGAAAACCTAATTTCTCCCAATAAAGTACTCGATAGCAATCTAGAACAATATATATATATATATATATATATAAATAAATCAAGAAAAATTTATAAATCCGTCTCTGTTATAATTTATTTCACGAATATTTTTATATTAATCTTTTCAGACCGAAAGCTTTTTACAAACTTTAGATACACAAACACACACACAAACGACACACACACACATATATATATATATATGTATGTATATATATAATTTCTTTTAGACACATATATATGCAAAAGAAATATATATATATATATATATATATATATATATATATATATATATATATATATATATTTCTTTTATATATATATGCATACATATTTAAATATGCATACATATATATATAATTTCTTATATATATGTATATATATAGGAACAATTTTTTTTTATATATATATATATATTTATATATATATATATATATATATATATATCTGTGTTATCTACATATGTACATTTAGATAATCTATTGCTATATATCTACATACGCACATTCAAGTATATATATATATATATATATATATATATATATATATATATATATATATATATATATATATATATTGCCCCCAAATTACGTTTCAGATATTTTTGTACGAAAACTTTAATTTTATTAATTCATAAAGTATGAAGAAACATTAAGAAATGAATTTAAACATTTTCAATTATTGCCTCAGAAAATATTTTTTATGAAATCCTTTATTCTATTTCTAGATAACTTCGAAATCTGCTCGCATTTATTTTCTAAAACTAAATTGTCTATTTCCTCTTTTGTTGATAATTTATACTGTAACAAAACCTTACCAGTTTTTCCCGTTTTGAATTGCCAAGATGTGCCCGATATATTCTCTCTTGCCA